AATAATAATAAAGAAACTATAAATTTGGTAATTCTGCACAGCACAGATTAACATTTTGCGTTATGAAGCATCCACAACTGGATGCTGGTATATAGATGGATAATTAAATATAATCTACTATAATTGTATGCTGTTGTAATTCTATACAAAATATCTTAATTAAGGAACTGCTGAAAATGATTTCATAAACACTTAGAAATGACAGCATGCTTTAGTGCCTCTGCTTGCTTGCCATGCCAGGTTAGAACTGGGGCTCAGGTCTTGTGCATTCTTCATTATTCTTTGCAGTATCATCGTTTTTGGTGCTGCATGTCCAGTCGTCCATAATGAAAATAAGACAAACACATTTTAGGTGCACGGCAGAGCTCGGAGCCTGCAGAAAGTCTGTGATCACAGGTGAAGTGCGCGGTGGAGGGCTTATTTCAGAGGGCCCCACTGCTGAGAGCCACACCCATCCCTCCTGTTGCACGAGTCCTCTTGTACTACGGATGATGTCATCTTTGACCGGGGAGGGGCGGAGGGACCGGGGTGACTCCAGCACCTCCAGCAGCAGCGTCAAGTTAGTGAGAGGTAACTATAACAACACGGGAAATATGGGCATCAGCCTTCAAAATAACAGTGCAAAACTTTAGTGTTTGGAATTTAAAAATGTATAAGTGTACAAGTTGTGCAAACTAATGGGTGTAAATGACTGATTACATTGACAGCAACAAGGTTTTATTGTTTGGCTCTCTGTTAGTATGCTATTCTGTTATTTATTCTTGCAGAAATGGATCATCGTTTTGGTTTTTCCATCTTGTCTTTCACCGAAAATACTGGGCCTCAAGTCAACTGGATTACCAACAGGTAAAGGTTGCAAATGACCCTGGGCCTATACTTTTTTGATAATTTGAGAAGTTGCAAATTTGTTTGGGGACATAAAGAGTAATATTTATTGAAATTATACTGTCAGTATTCTCTAGGTTTTTCTCCTCCGTCCACATAAAAATGGAAAAAACACAACTGAAGCACTTGCAAGAGCATGCCAATGCCAAAGCAAAGCCATATTGGCCAATCAGAAGCCTGAAAATTGCTATTTTTATTTTTATTATAAGGGAGGAATCTTATGTGTGGACTGTTTCTGACACCTCTGTTCCTCAGTATAATAGGAGTGTAACTTTGCATTTAAGATGAGATTCACCTTAACTGTCATTGCACAGTGCACAATGAAATCTAGCCTTCACATATCCCTGCTTATTAAGAAGAGCAAGAGCAATCATATTTCTCCCATATTAGTTTCTCTTTCATTGCTCCCTGTAAAATACAGACCAGAGTTTACAATCCTTCTCCTCACGTATAAAGCTTCTAATGACCAAGTTCCACTGGAGCATAAAGATACCACAGTCCCATATTATCCCAATGGAGCACTTTACTCTCAGAGTGCAGACTCACTGGCGCAGGTTCCTAAAGTTTCCAGAAGTAGAATGGGGGTTGGATCCTTCAAAATATCAGGCTCTTCTCCTTTGGAACCAGAGACACCATCTCTACTTTAATGATGAAGCTGAAAAAAAGCTTGTCATCAGGGTTTGCTCAGGTGACCATGAATCATCCTTCAGTTGTTTTTCTTGCAGTGAGGAGAGACTGCACGAGGAGATTTGTGTCATCCACACCTTTATAACTCATCATTGAAAGAGTTATAATTGAATTAGTTGCTTTGGAGGTGCTTTGACTTGCGTGTGCCCGCTGATGGTGCCAGAACACAGTGGGAAGCTCCAAATTCTCCAGAAATCCTGTTCTAAGTTTGACACACCTTGAGAATAATCAGTGACATGGTACTACAGCTCAGTCTGTAGGCTGGTATGATATCCTGTAAAAAGTGTAAAGTCACAGGGAGCCTTTCAGAAACCTCCCCAGGAGCCCCATGTGTTTTTCTCTGTTTGATAGTAGGGACAATGTGACTGCCTGCAGACTGATATGTATACCTATTGTGGGATACATAGAGCTGTGTAGGTGTTTGCTCTCTACTTACATAGTCAATGTCAGTGCTGCACAAAGCACCTCTCTTGTCTTTCTCTCTCCACACATTTATATGTCACCACTGCATGTCGGTAACTGTGTCTTCTCTCTTTCATCATTTGTGTTTTGTCCTCTCTGCAGGTATCTGTGGCTCCTGAGTTAAATATTTCTGATCTGCAGCTACTGGCTTCACCAGCCTTTACAGTGTTCTCTTATGCATTGTTTGTCTAATTTCTCTCTGCTATCCTGTTCTCTGCCCTTTATCCTCTCCCCAACCGGCCGAGGCTAGTGACTGCCCCCACCGGGCCTGGTTCTGCCAGAGGGTTCTTTTGGCCCCTCTGTCACCAAAGAGCTTTTTGTTGGTTTTCTTTGTATGACAGAATTTTTATCTCTTAACCTTAATGGAGTGTGAATGGGTTAGATGCATGCCCAAATCTATTAGTTAAATATTACTTTGCACTCTCCCTCATCTTGTGATGTTGCGAATATATAAGGAAAACTCAACTTTACATCACAAGCTTTGTCAGCAATTAAAGAAGCATAACTTTAGCAACAGGTTCCAGGTTAATAATCATTTTTTCAATCAATTAAATGTCAGATAAAACAGTTTGCATTATATATTAGTTCACATATACTTTTACACACAGTTATGTCTGCATTAGGTGAGCTCTTGTTTTGAAAGACCACACCGGACGTGGCCGGCTGTTAGCTTAGCCTAGCTTGTCGCCGTGTCGGTGGGAGGATCTCTGCTCGCCTGCCCCGTTTCTCAGCACCCTCTCTGTAAAATTAGCGAACACTGCAGCAAGAAGTGTGTGTGTGTCTGTGTGTCACGACCAAGAGCAAAAGAGCCAGTGGGGATTCATATTTATAAAACACATCTCATCCGGCTGGCGAACAGGTAATTATGAACCGGACGCTGCGCTTTGACTAAATGTTGTTATTTGACACAAGTCGGCGGTCTAATTATAGCGCACTTACTTGGGTAGAAAGAACAAGGTGGTGGCTTGTTCTCCTACTAACACTCTGCTTTTCGCCCCTCCTGAGGTTTGTAGTTTAATTCCCGGCGGTGCGGTAAATGTTGAAGTGTCTCCTGTGTATTAGTAGTTGTCAGGGTGTGTTAGAGTTGCAACTGTTGATATTTGTGGTTGTTGCTAGTTTCAAAGTGACGGCGGCAGATGAGCTCCTGTCGGTGCGAACAGTGTGTCCAAGTGCTACGACCTCAATAAGCAACTCCGCATGGCAAGTCTCCTAATGAGCCTTTTCCACTGCTGGGAACACTTAATTTCCTCATTAGAAAGACGCACATTTTCTGTTTGGACTGCCAGCAGTGGTTTTCAAACGTAACTAAAACATGAGCTGGCTGACATTTGAGATCACGGCTCAGTTATTTTTGCCTGAAACGCCCAAGTTGACTGAATAACTATGTGAGAGAAAGCTTTGGGGTAACATGTTAACACTGGTAAAGCAATTTAAATAGGAAGCTGTAATTCATGAACACCTGCAATTTACCTAAACTGAAAGTATTTTATAACTAGTCTTCCAAATTAGCTTGAAACGCTATGAAAAAACAAACCGAATTCCTCATACACGTGAAAACTGAGTCGATTAATCGATTGGTATGTTGTCAGAAAGTTGGTCTAATTTTTTATTTCAATCATTTAATCGTTTAATGTAGAGCTATGTATATATATATATATATATATATGCTAAATTTCTTTTTTGTCCCACTATAAACTGATTTTTTAAAGAAAAAGAGCTGCAACACTAGGAATGTAGAATGTGTTTTGTAAACCAGATGATTAATTGCTTAATCAATACTACGATGTTACCTGCTCAAAATAGACATGAATTAGAAATTTGGGGCTTTTTCAGACACAGACTTTTCCATCACTGTCTGAAGTCAAAAGATATTCAAGTTAAAATGATATGTAACAAAGAACAGCAGCAAATTTCATAAGTTGGACCCAGTGAATGTTTGGCATTTTTGCTTTGAAAATGGCAGAAATTATTATCAAATTCAAAATTTCTGTCTACTAAAGGATGAATTGTTGAATTTATCAACTAATCTTGCCGTACTGATACAGAACTTTTAGAAACAAGAAGAGCTGAAATATCACCATTTCCCTGGAATAAAATATGAAAATATTTTGTGGTTTTTTTTAAGTGAAAAAAAAAATCTTTTGAGTTATAGACTGCTTGTCAAAAAAGGAACAACAACAAAAAAGATGATGATTGATAGCTTCCTGTTTTTCTTTTGTTGTTTTGTTTTGGGTTTTTTGACATTGCACACCAAACGTATTGCCAGGTTAGTCGATAATGAAAATAATCATTAGTTGCAGCCCTGCAGTTGGTTTCAGCCCAGAGGAGCAGAAGTGACCAAGCTCAGGAAACCTGGTGGAGTCCTGTCAGGGAGCCAGTCATCCCTGTTTGTCTGCTCATGACCTCAGCTATTGAACAGAAGTGAGTCATGAGGTGTCCGTTCTCTCAAAGCCGACGCCAGTTCCGGTGCCTCTGCCTGTCTTTGAGTTCGGTCGTCCGGCTCAGGCTGTCACCGGCAGGCTTAGCCCTCTTGTCCTGTCCTACTTCTTCCTCAGGAGTGACTTCCTCTGGTATGTTCTTAAGATCATGGCTACTTGGCAGAAGCCGTGGAGGTGAGCAGGCTGCGGGTCATTAATCTGAAAATGGCCAGCTGATATGGTGATCAGACGAGCTTTACTTGTATAAGCCTCCTCATGCACTAAAACACAGCCCACTGAACTGATTGTAATACTCTAGCATTTTTACAATCCTTTTATTCATTTTGTGGTGAGATTTTGAAAAGATGAAAATTGATACCAGTCTCTTGTGCATCATTCAATCTTAAATCATCAGCTTTTCTCAGCAATTTCTTCTTGACCATCTCAGATTTGCCCTAAAGTTTTCATACCATTAAACGTGGATATTTATAAAGATATTTTTTACATTTTAGCGTGATATATTCAATATTTTTGGAGATATATTTCTTTCAAATTTCCCATTGACCCACTTGTAGCACATTTATTAGCACATTAAAAATTGGAGATTTTGTCCATTAACATGATCTATTTACTTTACATTATCAGCATGCCATTAGTCAAATTTGAATGTGCAAGAAAAAATGTGCTGAAATCGAGTTGATAGACATTTTTTATTTAAAACTCTGAAAGTATTTGATATATTAAGCTTAAATTTCACAGATGCCATTTTAAAAATCCGTAGTTTATGATCAGAAAAACTTCAAGCCAATCAGAGGTGGTCAATTATTTGAGATGAAATGCCTCATGTGGTAAATATGAAACAACAGGACAATTAGCTTAGCATAAAGACTGGAAACAGTTGGAAACAGCTAGCCTGACTCTGGTTAAAGATGACGATTCACCTATTAACACATCTGAAACTTAAAAATGTATGCGTTATGTTCATTTTTTGTGGACAAGAGTCAAAGTGAATGCATTTCCAGTTACATGGTGATTAAGTGTCTGACTGACTCCTGGCTGGGTGCAGTGACTTCCCAGAGTCTTATCATTATCATGGTTATTGGAGGCAGATTTATTGCTGAACTAGGTTACCTGGCTGTAGCTTCATACTTCGCTGCAGACGTGGAATTTTTTTTCGATAATCTAATCAAAATCTCAACAACAACAGTAACAACAACAAAAATAGCCATATATCTCAGAATGTCAGTGTTCCTTTAACATTATTTTGCTTAAGAATGTCTTTTATATTCACTTTAGAATTTGAAAATTTAAAACGGTGATTTTCTTCACACAGATAAATAGCTCATTGTCTTGAATAGGCCTTAAAAGAAGATCTTCTGCCTGATTTTATTTCTTGGGCTGGCTGAATGTTGGCACGTTTGATCGTTTCCATGGGTGTACTACCAGTAAAACCATGACTCAGTGAGACGAAGGAGCTCTTGTGCTTGTAACATGTGCCCAAAGAATGTGAGAGGCTGACCTGATCCGCTGTGTATGTTCCTGCTGTTGTGTAAGACAGCTCAGCACTCACATTTCAGTTTTATTCACTTGAGTCGACAGCTTACACTCAGGAATCTCTGCATTTAATCCATAAATGCCTGATCTGAAACGGCCTGAAGCTTTCCGATAAGATTAGTTTTATGAGCAGTCACCAAACGTCTGATCCTCCAAGTGATCTGCTGGCTGTTGCCGCCTGTCAGATTTAGTCAGATAAGATGTTTTTCACATCCGAGTTAAGGTGGTGTCGACAGCTGGTGTCGTGGGCCGTCTGCTAAGTCTCGGCCACAACCTCGGTCGGTTTTTGAACTTTGGCCCATTTCTCAGGCTGACTCGCAGAGGTGAAGCTAATTCTCGAGTGCTTTCACATCTGAAGGGTTTATTTTATTCTAACGGCAACAATAAGTTCTTAACTTACACCTCTTGAGGAAAAGATTGGATAAAAAAAACTCAAACTCCCTGTTAGGACTGAGTTGTGGTTGAGATGCCAAAGTTGCTGGAGGACATTCCTCTAAAATTGTGCTCCTGAAGTACATTAAAAGTTATTTTTATTCTCCAGCTTTGTGTTGTTCCATAGAGAGCCAGTCTAGACTAGAATTTCTGGGTGATCATGTTTATCTGTCAAACCGAATCAAACTCCAGCCCTGCTTCTATTGCTCTGCTAGTCTTTATCTACAGCCTTAGTTAAACAGAGCTCTTTGACAACTCCTGAATAGAGTAGTAACATTAAAAAAAACCAAACCAAAAAACAGGAAATAACTTTTCAATGTTGATATCATCAGCAGATCCAAAACTCTGCATTTTTTGAGTCTAGTGTGGTATATTACAGAAAGACGTGCAGCCCTGGGAAGTTAGTGAGACGAGCAAAACAATCCTGCTCGGACTCATTTCCTGTAAGATGTTTGCATGTTTGCGGGACATCAGAACAAAAAAAGTCATCCTCATCATCTCAGGAACAACAGGCCTTTTATTAGTTGGATGTTTGTCTATGTTTAGCATTGTTGTTGATAATAAACTCACATGGGGACTGAACAACAGCTCTCGGTCGTCGGCCCAGGTCGGGCTCTGCTCCGTGCTCACTCTGCTCAGCTTGTTGCGTAACTTCTGTTGGCCCCTAAGCCTCAGGAACCCTCCTTAGAGAAGGAGAGAGGTGGTGTGTTCATTAACCCAAGCCACTGCTCAAATAGTTGTAGGAAGTGGGAGTGCTTTGCTTTTCTCTGTATTTTATTGGTTATGCTTGGATCGAGTTTTATGCATGCTTGCCTGGATCAGTCTTCCTTATTACTGACACACACACTTTATTCATTTCGGTTGCCTTTTGGTCTGCGTCTAACACTCAGTATACTTGTGAATTAATGTGTGGATTCGTTTTCAGTCAATAAACAACTTAAAATACATAGAAAATGGCCATCACAGCTTCCTGGATCACCAGTTTGATGCCTTCATGTAAACAGTTCAAACCCTTACTTCTGCCTGCCAAGACATGGCCCTCCACACAATTCCCATAAAACCACAGCATGTCATACGTTATTGACACAGTTTTTGCACAGATTAAACAAACAAGATACATTAATTAATGAGCTATAGAGGTGCTTGTAGGTGGATTTTGTTAGCTTTGGACAGATTGAGACAAGCGTTTTTTCCTGGCTTTCAGACATAAGTCATCTCAATATGCTTACATAGTAACAGGTTTGTCAGCGGCATTAGTTTATTCATGTAATTCTCAGCCATAAAGCAAATGGTGAACTGTTCTATTAAGGAACTGTAAGGTATTGATTTAGGATAGAGTTCACAGTGTAAATATATGAAACTGAAAAGAATAAATGACTGAGAAAGAATATTTAAATTTTTTATTTTTTTTCTCCACATCTTTTCCTGGGCTGTAAGGTGGTGCAGTTGGTAGCACTGTTGCCGCGCAGCAAGAAGGTCGCCGGTTCGCGTCCTGGTGAGGACACCCGGGATCTTTCTGCGTGGAGTTTGCATGTCCTCCCAATGCAGCGTGGGTTCTCTCCGGGTTCTCCAGCTTCCTTCCACACAGTCCAAAAACATGTTGAGGTTAATTGGTGATTTTAAATTGTCCGTAGGTGTGAATGTGAGTGTTCTTGGTTGTCTGTCTCTAAGTGTAGTCCTGTGATAGACTGGTGACCTGTCCAGGGTGTCCCCTGCCTTCACCCTAAGTCAGCTGGGAAAGGCTCCAGCCCCCCCGCGACCCTCGTGAGGATTAAGCGGTATATATGTTTTTAGTGAAACAGTATGACAAAGGAAAACCACCGCTCGATTTAACTGCTCACATCCTATAGACATATGCAGACTGTGATGAGGGGTTGTATTGTTCAGACAAAACTCAGCCCTTCATGAAAACAACACCAGTGTTGATGGAGGCGTGTTGCCCGTGAGACATAAAGTACAATTAAGGGACTCCAGTTTTGACTAACAGATCTATGAGCTTGAAGCCTTTTCAGAAAACAATAGCAGCAACTCTATGAGAAAACCGTTTACAACTGTTGAGAGCTGCCACAGTGGTAATTATTTCATTCTAACAGTAGAAACAAGATGTTCATGGTACAAAGTGTTTCTCCAGAAACACGCACTTGCATGTAATGGACTGTCCACCACAGCATCTCACTGGGAGACATCGTGTTGCATTGCCAGTCAAGTTGTCAGAGTCCTAGATGTTGGCACCCCTGCTGCACTACTGGACTAGCCTCTTTCAAATATATGTACTGGATGTTTTTTTAAATTCAGGTTGAAGTGTTAAAAGTCAGTCTGAACGTGGCCATGCACATTTCAAACGGTCATAAGCTGAAAAGGCAACACAGTGTTCCTGCTTTCTCACAGTTAGAGGAGGTCCCTAGTCAACCTCGCCTCAGCATGATAGGAAGCTTTATGAATATGTTCTAGCACATCTCTATGCAGCAGCAGATAAATCTTTTTTGCATTGTGTAGAGTCACAGTGACAGGTAATTGAAAATGTCTGCACCCTGAACTGAGCGATATTTATGGAGAACCAACAGAATGATGTCAAACTATTTCTGCTTTTGTGAGGACAGTTAATCCCTCAGTAACAACTTTACTCATTCAGGAGTGTAAAGTGTTAAAGGTCAGCCAGCTGATACCGGTCGCAGATAAGTGGTACCAAATTCACATATTTTCACTGAATCAAAGTTAAGTCTTTTATATCAATGTGGAGAGAATGGATGGAAGATTGAAGCTTTTGCTGGCTAAATCATGATAAACAAGTTTGATCCGGATGACACACCAAAATCGGTTACTCCTGGCAACCACCTGAACTTTCTCTTCAGTTGTTACTGTCATTAGTATCCATTAGTGCCTAAATTGAGGCCATCAGTCATAGGTATCCTGAGTAATTGGCACAATTTGTGACTATATGGGACATGTTCACGCATAATTTCCTTTTGCCAATGTGTCAAGATGTTCCTTCATAGGCTTCCAATATCGCTGTCACCAAGGAAAAACTCATTGCGCAGCTCAAAGAGAGCAACCGTGTGCGTGTGCATGTATGTGCGAGAAAGCAGGCGTGTGTGCTTGCATGTGTTGCGTTGCCTCTGGCTGCTCTCTCCATGTCCCAGCTCTGCTGAGGCCTGTCCAAACAGAACTGCAGCCAAAAGCTCCTCCCAGGCTCCACAGAACAGGAAGTGGATTGTTTTGTTTCACAGAGAGAGCCTCTGAGGCCTCGGTGCTGCTGTCTCCCACTTGTTTGGCTTTGAACCCATCATCTAGTTCATGCTGTCTCTGGTCAGTTTGGCAATCTCTGGAAAGCAAAAGATGCTGCGCAATGTCAGCGGACTCAGTACTCAAAGTATCAAGCAGAAGCTTTCATTGTGTAATACACCTTAAGTGGAAAATCATTTTGAGTTGTCTTTTTACACTATAGTTAGTACATTTGATTGCTTCTCTTTAATCACATTTTAGACACATACAAATAGCAGGAGTCAGTAAACTGCCAAAATTTGCCACAGCAGCCTCAATTCAAACTTGCATCTTTGGCAACTCTTGGCAAAACCGCTGCAGCTGTAACACAGTCCACAGCAACCAAAGGAGTGGGCCCTTGGGCAAAAGGCAGAAAATATGATTAAACCATGACCACAGTTTCCATAAGAGAAGGAACGAGTAACCAAGATGTTAATAAAATTGTCAAACAAGCAAACGCCCCAAATTTCCGGTGTAGCTGCTGGTTATGCCAACATCTAATACGCATGGAAATAGAGCTGAGCAGCAATATCTTCACTTCTTTCTACTATTTCCAGCTTTTTTCACTTTTTGCACTTTGCAGCTCAACCCATGTATTCATTAACCAATTACACATCAAGTTTTTTTAATGATTGTAGGAGCTGTTGTTTAGCAGAATTTGTATTAAAGTACTTATTTATTAGCTTTTTTTTCTGGAAATTAATACAACAGTCTACAATGTGAATTCCCTGATAGCTTCTAAATGCCAATTAGACCTGTAACAATTAGCTAATTAACTGATTTTTAGACTCAAAATATTAAACTATTGCTGCAGTAAAATCTGTATAATCCTTAGTATACCTTTAATTGATTTTGTATATGGATATGTCAGCTGTTTGCACTACAAATGGCCTAATAATCCAGCTTATCGTTTGATGATTTGTTGAGAATTTGCAAATACTGAAAGCTATTCGCTTTAAAATGCTGAATGACTGAGATAATAATTTTGCACATATCCCCCAGCTCCGCATGAAATATGTTTAACAAGCCATCCATATGATCTGTTGTGACACCAGATCAACAATAGCCTGACTAATAACCTGAGTCTGTGTTTTGCAATGACTTTTGATTAATGGTTTGATGCTGCTTATTGAAAGTACTGGTGTTTCCATGCATCCGAGCAGAGATTAAAAGTGGGCGTTGGGGCAGACTCAACTCAAAAGTTTTTGCCTGCAGCGCTGAAAGATGAATTTCCCCTGATAAGTGGGTGCCCTCATGAAGAGGATTGCTGTCAAGACTGTCTGGCAGAAAGTGGATGAGGTGAGGAGCCAAATGACTATATGCACAGCTGCTCCCAGGCAGCAGGGCTCCAGCTCATCCATCAGCTGCACTGCTAACTCATCCCCACGCAGCCTGCACACAGACACACACACACACACACACACACCAGTGAAACCAGTCCTCTGCTGTGGGGATACTGCAGAAATGTTTCACAGTTCAGTTTGTTTGGTGGAATCATGTATTTTGAGCACAAGAAACTATCAGTGCTTCCTGAAGCGTAGCTGTAAAAATGTAAACCTTGTTGACAAAGGTGCATCTGTTTTGGCAGACAGGATTTTGTTTTGGTGGGAAATGCTTGCCTGGTATTTTTTGCATCACGATATACATCAATTCACAAAACTCCAAGTAAGCAGGAGCACTGTAACACATCAGGACATATGGCCTTGCAGGTGTAGCTGTTGTTCCTTGTAATAAAAATTATTTTTGACATAATTACGCTGTCAAAGTATTCATGAACAGAACTGGAAAAGCAAAAGATATGTAAGACAAAGTAGTTATTTTGTCTGTTTTAGGACACCATTATGTACTTCAGCAGCTGCTCTAATTTCCCTCACGCTTTCCTCCTCCATGCATGTTGCAGAGGGAAACAAATGGGGTGGAGCAGGAGCCTGAAAGCGCATTCCTTCATGTCCTAGCTTGTCTCAGAATCCCTCCTCTCCTTCTCTTCTCCCTCACTCCACTCTCATCCTCTGTCTCCTCTGTTTTTCATATAGCTTTGTAGTCTAGATTTGGCATTGGGGATTCAAGGTCTGTGACTGCAGTTGTCTGTGACAACGTGCTGATCAGAGAGCCTCCCCTTAGGTGTAATGTGATGCAGCACTGTCAGTCAGAGATGTCAGAGTGGTCGCTTTGGAGCTCCGCCGCATGAGTAGAAAAAAGTGTTTTTCTAACATTGTCTTCTTGATTTATCTTGCATAACTGGGATCTCAACAAATAATTTAAATATCTGTAGTATAGAATACACAAACAGATGACTTTGTTGTTTGGCTTCAGTGTGACAAGTCGAATCTCCCTGAACAGCAAGAAAAGTTTCTTTTGCCTTTTTTTGATGTCTGTTTGTAAGAACTTCTTGTTCTTCTCCCCACAGATATGGCAGCTATTCGGAAGAAGCTGGTGATTGTTGGAGATGGAGCTTGCGGGAAAACATGTCTTCTCATTGTATTCAGTAAAGACCAGTTTCCTGAGGTCTACGTCCCGACAGTGTTTGAGAACTACATTGCTGATATCGAGGTTGACGGAAAACAGGTTTGTACCATTGACACTAAACTAAACAGTATAATAGTGTTAGTGTCTGCCATCATGGACATAGAAAATCTTCAGGTTGTGTCATAAGCCACCACTGTCCTGATATGTGTAATATGTTTGGCTGATAGGACTGTTTACTTATTCACATTCCTCTTAGTTACTGCTGCTGCATCTGTCAGTTTTTCTACTCTGCAAGAGAACTTGCAGTGATCATATCAGAAGATTTAACATAAATACTTTCTTTAATATTTAAACAGGTAAAGACAACAGCAGGCCATCTCATGAATAGACCGTGACCAAAGAGTTTTACTGGTTTGAAGTACAAGTGATACCATTGGATTTTATTACCTCTAGCTTGCTAGCTTGCTTAAATGTGTGCTTGATGGCTATATTGAGGGTCACTCTAACAGGTCCCTAATGGGAAAAAGAAAGCTTCCTTTTCAGTTAATAGTCCTTGCAGAAGACAGGAAAATAAAGACACAGCATTGTCCCTTATTGCATTTGAGGTAGTATTTATGATAAGAAAACCTGCAAGAGCAGTTTAGCTTTTGATTTAATGTGATAAAACCTTTAGGATTCTGACTGAACTGTATGTTTTGTGGCCATAACACTGTATTAGTCTGTTAAATGTTAACTCCTAAATTAAAAAAACAAACAAAAAAACTGCAGGACAGAGGTGTTTACTTTACCATACACATGGACAGATTCTAATATCAACATGCACACAGTGGGGAAATCCTCCACAGCAGACATGCTAGTGGTGAACAGGGCTTTCTGTAACTCTAAAAAATAGTATGAAATGCTACGTGGTTACATTACCACTGTAGGCAGGGTTTTTCTACTATACTAAACATTTGCACACAACCCCCAAGCTGAACGAACAGATAAACTCCTGTATGTTGAGAGTTCTCCACCTCTGGAGAAAAAGGATACCATATTTGCTTGGGGAAAAAAATAGAATTCATTTAATAGCAGGGGATTTTTCACTCTATTTATTGTGAGTCTTTTAGTCAATCAGCACTAAAAATGTTTGGTCTTCTAGTTTCACCTGCAGGAGATTATGAATGCTTTGTGTTTTGCTGCAAAGGAGGAAAGGAACTCATGATGACTTGGTATCAAACCAGTCTGAAAATGCTAACATAACTCCGCTACACGCAGCACCTAAGCTCTGCAGAAACAGAAACAACCCTGCTGTAGGTGGTGAGGTACTTAGCCAGATAAGCTTACAATTGTCATCTGCGAAAACTGACAAATGCACAATTTAATCTATTGCTTCCACTGTTGTTTGTGTGTTTTTGGCTTTTGGACAAGAGCTCCATGCACTATCTTAAACAACATCCTTGCTTCATTACTGTTGCTAAGTTGTGATTGGACAGTCGCTGTTTGGGAGAAGGAGTTTAGCTAATGGTCGTTTGCAGAGTTACGAAACCAACAATGTTTTTAACAAAGTCCTGCTCCAGAGTGTTTGCGACGTCTTGATTCTGAGTCATGGGGAGTTGGTCAGAGAGGATCGAGTCTGAGCTGCAGATGGCTTGTTATGTCAAAGGATTTTGTTCTCTTGATCCGACCATCGCTGCAGGATCACCACTGGGCAAAACAGGAAATGACTCTACTTCCCAGCTTCCTGTTCAGACGGAGAACAGGGATGTCTCCTGGCAATCCCCCTCCTTCCCTCAGGACTGTTCTCCTGCTCTGGCTCGATAAACGTCTCTCATTTCCTGTCCTTGTACTGGTTGTGCTTACATGCAGGGAGGCAGGGAGGGGTTAACTGCTGTGAGCTCTGGGCAGGAAATGTAAAGTTAGGGATCCATGATGGACATCGGTCTAGTAGGGGAGAATGTCTGGAAAAAGATACAAGTGTCAACTCCTTAAGTCTCTAGAGGATGGTGGTTTCCTTAGAATTAACCTCTTACACAACCTCTTGGTTTAGATTTGCGTTTTTTCCCCTTTTTGAGGCTACAAAACATATTCTTTCTCTCACCTCCAGTAGACTGGGTAGATTCTATAAATAGCTGTTTTTTCCCCCTCTTTCTCTTCCTCCCCAAAGTCTGCAGCTCACAACTAGTCCAGTGGGAACATAATGCTCTGGTTGCTTATGCAGTCTCAACAGTGTTCAGCTGCCTCCTACCCTCCTGCCTCTGCAAACCTCTATTTTGGGATTAATTCTTGTGCTCTCTGTGGGCATGCCACAATCTAATGTCATCCAGTGAAGTTCTAGTATTTAAAACTTAGCAAAAGTTTTTTTTTTCTCCGGAACCCAGTGAGTCGGCTAAAAAGTGAGCGAAGGTTGATGCTTAATGCCCGCACAGGGACAGAAGGTACCCGGTTTGATGCTCGCTAATCTCCCACTCTCCCTAATTGAATTAATCAGCAGTGTGATGGGATGAGGCCAGTCCTCAAGTTCATTTCCGCTACACTGACAACAGAACAGTGTTGTTATAGCTGAACTGCTGTGGTGATGAAAAGTAAATGTCCATACAAATGAGTAAAGCAACTTAGGAAAAACACAAGTGTAATCACAAGTTATGATCAAGGTGTAAGACTGCTGAAGCTTATAGGGAATCCAAATGTTTTGGATTGTTGGGTGTTTCTGTTTCTGCCTTTGTGAAGCGCTATGAGATGACTTGTTGTTGTAAATATGCGCTATACAAATTGAATTGAATTGTAAGGTGTATGTGGCCAGAGGAGAAGAGTGTCCCAAGTTAAGTAATGGTAGCATAATTTCCTTCCTCATATGTAAAGCAGTGGCCCTTGGGAAAATTACTCAGATGCACCACATGCCTCAGGATTCATACGTCATCGCCCAAACAGTCACAGCTCTCAGTGGATGATAAAACTTCACCACTAATGATGTCTTGACTGGTTAAATGTTTGTGCATTCATCTGGATCAGCAGATGACATTATGTCAAGTCTGGTTGGACGGGTTGTATTTATTTTTTCAGCCCTTAACATGTGTTCATATTACAGACTTTCAACAAAATCGCACGAAGGAATGATGGTGATAATAAGGAATTCTTTCTGTATCTCAAATCAAGATAAATCCACCTCCATGTTCAGTAAATGTATTTCGGTATGTGTGCTGCTTGTTACAATAGTTTCTTTTGTTTGTTTTCCCAGGTGGAGCTGGCATTGTGGGATACCGCAGGCCAAGAGGACTACGACAGGTTGAGGCCCCTCTCCTACCCCGACACAGATGTCATCCTCATGTGCTTCTCCATTGACAGCCCAGATAGTTTAGGTATGGAACTGATGATATACTGTAGCCTGTTTTAAAATGTTTGGTTAGTCTTTATTTGATAAACATGGCAGCGCTGAAAGTCGACAGCCCAGAGTAGTATTGCAATACGACAAATTTTAAAATACCTGCCGTATCCTGTATATAAGTGCTATTTTGTTAACACATTCATCTGTCCCGTGACAGAATCGAGCTAGTTCATATCAGCTAGCCAAGCTGCTTGTTAAACGCCTTAATGGACTTGATGGGAAGTGGGATTAGTGCAGCTAAAAACATCTTTGCCTCAAGCAGTCTGCAGAGCAATCCATCATAAGAAGTGTTCTGCGCCATGACTCTGCACTGCTTGTCCCTTTTTATAGTCCCCCCCCTTCCCTCGCACTCTCTTTCCCTCTCGAGTATTTCAGCTCACTTCTTGTCTCTCCCGGGACAGAAAATATCCCTGAGAAGTGGACGCCGGAGGTGAAGCACTTCTGTCCCAATGTTCCCATCATCCTGGTGGGCAACAAGAAGGACCTGAGGAATGATGAGCACACACGGAGAGAGCTAGCCAAGATGAAGCAGGTACAGATGCCTCTGAAGGTCGATGAACAGTAGATGTTGTTAATCAGGCACAACTAGATGCCTGAGGGTATGCAGAGGGTTGAAACACTTAAGAAGTCTAATTTGTTAGTGTTTTGTCTGATTTACTTGTGCACATATTCAGGAGCTTTCGGGTAGCAGTATACGTACGGTCACATGACACTACCACCCTGCAAATATTTGCAGTGTCTCCCATTCATTTCTATAAAGGCCTGCACCATGGTTGACTTTCAGCATTCGATTTCTGTTTCCGTCATTGCCGCCCTACTCAATAAAGGACTGTCACCTCAAATGCAGAATTCATTATTGCACTGGGTTTTTTCCCCCGTGTTCACTACATTACATTGCCAGTCTAGGAACTGCAGCATCAATCTCACAGACTGTTTATATTTATGATCACTCTGCTCTGTATTTTTCACCACATCAGAGCTGTGACATTTTTAGGGCTAAATCCAGGACAAGTTTTTGATGAACTGGAGGCTGGTGTGATTGTACCTTCAGACAGTGTGATTCAGAAAGGCCAGTTTAAGCAATTTATACATGAGTATGAAGAATTACCAGACTCCAAAACACTACACACTGGTTATACTATGAAAATACTCTTTCCTTAGACAGTGATTCAGCTGGGAAAATGCCACCAATAAAATTTTTATTAGGGAAAAAGGGGAGCGGCCTAATAAAGATACAAGAAGGAGGAATCTATCTTCCATGATGGACAGATGTGCAGTAATGTAAAGTTGTGAGAAATAACAAAAGTGGAACTACAGAAAAGCAGATTCTCAGTATCAGGTAGATTAAGCTAAAGCATATCTGTATATAAAAGTGATTTAAGAATATGTTACTCAATTAGAAACATTATTTAAAATAAAACCTTTTCGTTCTCCCTTTTTTGCATTATTATTATTATTATTCCTGTGTCACCTAAAGTTAACTTCCCCAAGGGACCGGCAATGATGGTGGTCTGAAAGGCTGTTACTGGCCTTTCTGTCAGACTATAATGACGGCAACATGTGGGCTCACTGTGTCACAGAATGGGCCACATTCTGTCTGTCTCCAGGTCCAGCTGATAATAGGAACATGTTGACAAAGCTCTCCAGCTCTTTCAGACACCGCTGTCAGCTTTTCCTTTCTGTAGAAATCAGGAACTGTTTGACAAAGAGTTGCACTAAGTCATCAGTTCAAGTGTTTGGGATTTGACATGGCCAAACAGACGTCGCTGGTTCAACATGTGTAAAATATGGGTTCGTGAAGTAGCCGACTCAAGGCTCTTAAGTTTCTATCTGTTTGATAAATTTGTTTTAGCAAGACAGTGGAGATGAGATTCAGCTTATGTTATTTCAGAAACAGTATCTGTTGCAGGGAGGTTCCTTTTCATATTGTATTTAGGGCTCTGACTAACAGCTTTTGTCATTATTGATTAATCTGCACATTGCCTTGATTAATTGTTTAGTATGTAAAAAATGAAAAAAATGCCATTTACAATTCATTACAGTTAAGTCTTTTACTTGCTTGTTTTGTTCGACCAACAATCCAACTCTAAAAGATACTCAATTTACTGTCCCATATATGAAAAGAAAACCAGGGAAAGTTTGGCATTATTGCTTGAAGCATAACTGAAACGATTGATCAAGTATTAAACCCAGAGTTGATTGATTTTCTACTGCTCAATAGAAAAGATGAAAAAGTTGAAATTGGTCTAAGATGCACAATCTTTCCTATATTCTCAATGCTTCTCCCTACTGATAACTTTCATGCAATCTCTAACAATCTCTTATCTAAACCTGCAGGAGCCAGTGAAGATAGAAGAAGGCAGAGACATGGCCGGCAGGATCAGCGCTTTTGGCTACCTGGAGTGCTCAGCCAAGACGAAGGACGGCGTGCGGGAAGTGTTCGAGATGGCCACCAGAGCAGCGCTGCAGGTCCGCAAGCGCAAGAAGAGAGGCGGCTGCACGCTGCTGTGAGCAGTCCAGACACCATGAAATCAACTGACCAGGAGAAAAAAAAAACCCAACACACATGAAAAGGACTGACCTATTACCAAATGGATCTTTGTACTGTATCTCGCATTTCATGACAACAGGCAGGCAGATGAATCGAACACAAACAAATCTAGTACAGGAAATGGACTTTGTCTATTACAACCGTGGTTAGAAATTGATGTTTCAAAGTTCCTTATTGATTTACTTTTTCCCTCCCCCCCAAAAAAAATCTGTCTTTACACACAGTATGTTGTTTTTTTTTCAAACTTGATTTTCTTCATATTTGTAATGTAACAAGGCTGTGGTAGGTGCACATATTTGTATGCAATATTGTTCTTCATGAGTTCGGGCGAGCAGCATCCTTCTTAGCTTGTATAAAGTCTTCATGAGTAAGGTCTTGTCCAAACAGTCCTGAATGTCAAGTTCTGTTTGTTATTGTAGCAGTCGTGATAGAGAATGAAAGTTGATCTTTTTGACCATAAGAGCTAGTGCCTTTTTAAGTTTGTACACCACCATCTCTACATGTTACGTTTGTCAGCCAGCTAACATTTCAGCTGAGGACCCCTCCATTGTACTGTAGCTCATTTTACAGTGTTGTCATTGTGAAACCTGAGCAAAGCCATAACTTAGGCTGTCAGTGCTGGTGAAAACTCGTCAAGCACAATAGTTACTTGTGTCATTTTTGTCGGCATGAAACATCAGCTTTCCCCCGTCTACATTCTCCATTTTCAATCAACTCACATTGAGGATAAAGACAGGCAGCTTCTTCTGCAACATGATAAACGGCCAATCAGAGGCTTCCCTTTCTGTAGAAGACTGCACGCATGCGTCCCTCAGAACCGTCGCTAATCTGTGCAGTGGACCTCGATGAGGGAGGAGGAAGGGAGAAGAGGCCAAACGAGACACAAGCCAATATGACTCAACTATGCACAATAGCTGTTTGGACCAACAGGGAGATGACACAGCTGAAACAGAAATCACATGGGGGCCAAGGCCTGGTGACACCTCCCTTGTTTGTTTATTGTGAGCGACTGAGTTCACCTCTTTTGCTATACAACACAACCGAGCCTGTCCCACCCGCAGTTGGCATCCATGTGTCGGACTGGTTAGCCCAGTCGCGGAAATCATGTCTCATTAGAGCTGTTAGCCTGTTTGCATGTGGACGTTTCCAGTCGGGCGACATTCTTTACATGTTTGAGAGGAGCCGAGATGTGTGTGAGCAGTTTGCTTTTTCCTGGTGCCTTCTCTGTTCTGGTGTGCCTTTAGGTTGTTCTCTCCCAGACTAGATAAACTAGCTGCTGTGTGCCCGCCTGACACTGACTGACTGACAAGGTCAACCATGACCTTTTCTGACATGTTTTTGCAAGGCTCGGTTCATTAAATGCTTTGAAAAAATGACAAACGGCGTCATTAGTTTGCTAAATTGTATGCTGTCACAACATAAATAGTAAAAAATTGTACGTATGAGAACAGTGTCATCTTTATCATCTTGGCACATGAGCAAGATTATGCCAATTTACGTCATGCAGTTTTGTGTCAAGAATTACATATTTCCTCAGCACCGCTGGGAAAATATGTCTGCAGCCATTAAAGATTCACTTTGTGATGCATTAGAGCTGTTTATCGCTGCCAAAAGAAAAAGTTTTCAGAGTACAGCTCTAAATAAGATGAAAATTGGACTTATTCGTCCTTCTCTTGATCTGTGTTGGTCTCGATTCTTGGCAAGAAACAAGAACAGATCGAGCGTACGCTGAAGTGTACTCAAAAATAAGTTTCTGAGACATGTCACAGACCGTCCACTGGTCCCAGTTTTTTTTCTTATGTGTCCTCTCAGAACTTGACCTGAAAATATACTGGCTTCTTATACAAAGCTTGAAAGGCCCAGCAACTGTCCTCAGGCACACTCTTCACAGCATTCCTTCTCTCCGCCTGTGTTGCTCATTCATGTACTGTACATGTCCCTTGGTTGCATGGAGGGTGGATTTTGAAACGTGTGTGGCAAAAACAATGTCCTTGATGTTGCATGCAACCTTCTTACAAATGCCAGTAAAAGGCATCAAACCTTACCAGCTGGCAAGATCTGTATTATATTGTAATGCAAATTTAAACCCTCTGCTGGCCAAGCACATGCTTTAGCTGAGTGAGCCAGTGGAGAGGCTACGACTCAGCTGAGGTGTTGTGATTTTTTTTTTTCTTGTGTGTGTTTCGGAGAGGAGGCATTGATTACAATCACACACCACATAAATGTTGTTACCTCAAATCTTTTCGAGGGCGGACGCTACATTTTAACTCTGGACTTTGTGCGTTATTGCGGACAAGAAGCACATTATCGAGGCGAGGAGAGTCAGATTCATATCAACTCAAGATTTTTGAAAGGCCTTCTGTTAAGCGTCTCACAGCCGCAGCATGATGTTCATGGGTCTCAACAAGCTCGGCGCCAAGGAATTCTTAGGAATTAGAGGTCGGCGGAGACAGTCGACTAAGTGTCACAGCTGGAAGCACAGCGTAATGATGAAAGCATTCCCACGGAGCAGCGGAGGGTCTCGTGTTGAACATATCACTAAGAGCATGTACTATACTGCTGTTAATGTGTATGCAGATAATGTCCCGCTAAATCAGAAGTTGTCCCTACAATGTCGATGCATGCATGAGAAAACCGTGGGTCTTTACTGTGCGCACACACACACACACACACACTTATATACACAAGCACTAACACGCACACCTCTTTTGGAACAGCTTCTGCTCAGTGTCGTGTAACTTTTTCTTTCTTTCTCTGGAAGTATTTGAAATTATAACGGATCCAGATTTATATAAAAAGCTCATTGTAATAATGCTTTGTAAACAGAAAGTGTTCTAGTGAATGTTTGATCTGAAGTGAACATGAACATTGTTAATAAACTATTTTTGAGACAAGACAGACCGGTTTCCTTGGTCAGTTCTTGAAGGAAATCATGACATTGAATCTGACTGGCAGCACATAAACCATTCAAAGGTTGTTACGATCGATGTGAGGCTACACATGACGTTGTACTCTACACAAAGGTTCAGAAAGTCAAGAGTTTATTTTTTTAGAGTTGAAGTGTTGGAGATATTTGAAAGGAATAAATCACCTACAGAGACTAACTTGTAAAGTAAAATTATACCAGAAAGACATATGGTAGTAAATTCCTGTCAATTATAAATTTCCTATCCAAGAAAACCAATACCTTGTGTGGAGTCATATTTCTATTAACTGAACTAAAGTATTTATTTAAAAAGGCCAAAAGAGCCAAGAGTGAAAAACTAAAGACTCACTCGTTCATTCTGTCATTTTGACTAGAAACAGAGCAATGTTTATTGCACCAAAATATGCAAATTGCTCTTAAAAAGATTCAGAAAATGATATTTTTCCAAGCAACACAAATGCAGGAAGAAAAAAATTAAATACTGAGGCTTGCTCTGTGTCTTCATGTCCTAAAATCTAATAATCTTTTGAGGAAGCCACAGTTTGGTCTGAAGTTAATGCTCATTCTTCCATTCAGGGTCCACATACTGCTGGAGGGCACTCTCCTCTGCTTCAGGACCTACAACAAAATCGCAGAAAGACACATAACTTTACTTTCTCTGAAGCAAAAAAAATTCATTCCAATCTTTCAGAGCTCTCATTTTGTCCAACCAGCAGTTGAAAACCCAAAGACAGTTTACAGCGATTACAACAGAAAAGCATAATGTCCTCACAAGCTGTTGCCAGCCTTTGTAGCAAGCCTGAAAAACTGTCCATCAACTGATAAGGTATCTACTGAGGCTCTACTGAGGTTAAAACTGGACTAACATTCAGATTCAACGTTGATTTTCAGGGTTGCCAGTCTCGACACAATGTCATCTTCTCCTTCCACATCTTTGAAGTCGAATCCAGTGTAGCCCTTCTCCTTCACGCAGTAGCTGATGAACCTGTACGTTAAAAAAAACACACACACAAATTAAGGAAACATGGATGAGAAGAGCTCCCTGACGACTTGGCAAACATCACCTGCTTCTGTCAAAAACTCCAGAATAGCTAAGTGGCTGTTGTGAGATTGTTTTATCAGCTTGTATTTCCAAGATAAACAATGGACTTTCAAAGACACAACATATATGCTTCTTAATATGAGGCACTTTTCTCACAACTTTGTGTTTCTCTGAACTCTGCTAAAACATCTCCTGTGATCTGCTTTGTCTTACTTCTCCCAGGTGGGATCCTTGTTGAGGATAACAGGGTTTCCCACGACAATAAGCAGGGACCTTGCTCTTGTCACGGCCACGTTGAACCTCTATAAGTAAATACATATTAAAAAAAGGAGATATTAGCAACTTCTTTAATGGTAAACATATGAACCCCCTGAACCTCAAAACCGGCCGGCACATTTTAAAGGCACATCAACTGTAAAAACAGACAGAATCATCGGATTTTTAACTTTATTTACGGCCCTTGAACTACACATCTGTGGCATGCCGTTCTGTTGCAAAACATAAATTCACCAGAATTACTTAATTCCACGGGTCATGCAAACAAAATGTCAAAAGTTAACCATTTGAAAGAACTAAATTCTGTATACATATATTTTAACAAATAAAATACGTGACTAAGCTGCGATCAGCAGTCACATAAACATTCAGGGACTTTAGCTGAACTGGGTTGAACTGCAGGCTGTGTTTATACAGGGCAGGTGGGATATCAGTATGCAAGAAAAATTAAAAAGAATCCCCATTTTTCCAGTAATGGTAACACTTGGGGGCACCTACTTGTTAATTTGAGGCTTTTGCAATTGTTGTAAAATAAATAAATAAAACTTTTTTGATGATATATAGAACTTTAATGGTACTATACTGCACAGAAGACATCGCTGAATTCCCTATATAGCTATAGCCGTGGTTGTGCTGTTTCCATACAGGTGCAGGACTTCATATTGCAGTGAAAAATGACCTCACAGTGAGTAAAAATGTGACAGCAGCAAAAAAAAACAAACACCTAGAAACTGCTTGGGGTTCAGAGGTTTACAAATGTTTTAATGTTGCTTTAAATAACAATTAAAAAAAGGAATCTGACAAACCTTTTCATTGGATAAGAATCCAATATTGAAGTCTTTGTCCATCTTGACGTAGTTGATGCAGCTGCGGACAGTCGAGATCATGATGATCTTCCTCTCTTGTCCCTGAAACTCTTCCACAGAGCCCACCTGATACCATGAAGCCAAAACAGAGGGAAAAAATGTAGTTCAAGATGCAATATCATACAATGAAACACGGCTTAATACACACTCACACAATATATTTGAGAATTGACTTAATCCTCTGTAATTTAATTATACTTTTCTGTAGAAGTGAATAAAGGAGCTCAATCTTTTGACTTCATTTTACTGAAACTATGACGAGAGACTTGAATGAGCATCTTTTTGGGAATTTAAGCAGCACTGCTAACCTTAAGTTCTTTGAGATCGTTCCATTGACTCAACGCTGACACGGACTTCAGGGCCTTTCTGACTTTCTCAACCTGTTAGGAAAGTAAGGATGTTGTGGATGACTGGTAAAAAAAAAAAAGAAAGACTCCTACAAACTTACACTGCAGGTCTTTAAACCAGAAATGCAGGCTCACTTGTTTCCTGTAGGGGGTGATTATGCCGATGTCTTTTGCAGAGAGCTTGGGGAGACCCTTCTTCCCTTGTGTCTCCATCAACTTGTTGAGGTAGTCGACCAGGACTTCGATCTCAGACACGTTGAAGAAAGATGGACTGTTGGCCTCTCTCTCATCTTTCCCCATCACTCCATGGAAGATCAGCGGGAAACCCTGCAGTGATGGAGAGAGAGCAGGTATTTGTGCTGAATGCCGTTTGGTGAAGCTAAAAATAGGAATCCAAACTTTTAATAGTCCTTAAAATGTCAGGAAATCTGGAAAAATGTTCATTACAGGTTCTCCCAGCCCACCCGATGTTTTCACATGCTCATCCACTGGAAAAAACACCCAGAGATACTCAATTTACTGTGCAATAACATAAAGCAGCAAAGCTAGCTAAGATTAGGCTTTTTTGCTTGAGGAATCATTCTTAAAATTCAGTTAGAATCAATTAACTACTGCAGAAATTCTTTCACATTCAGTGTTGTGACATTCATTTGTAGCTCCTTAATCTGTCTTGGTTTATGACTTTGTTCTCTTCTTTTTCTAATCTTAATAGGAATTTTGGTCTTCTCCCCATAATTTCATTTTTATCCCAATTTGTGTTCAGATTGTTTTCTTTCCTTCCATAATAATAATTTGTCCAAAAATACTTTTGCCTCTGTGAACATCTCAGACTGTTTTCTGTCTTCAGTTTATTTTGATGATATAGGTGTTTATGTCTCATGGCAGGAATTATAGCTAAGGGACGCTCGTGCTAATTTATACGGTATTTCCTTAAAGGTAAAGGACTGTTGAGAGACAGATAACCAGTTGTCAGATTGGTTCAGCAGAGGCAGAGGTATCCTATATAAATGAACTTTAGTTGGATAGAAATACAGGAATTCTACAGCTCCCTTTGATTTTAATGTTATGTTAAAATTGTTTTATTTCGGTCTTTAACACTTAACAACAGTTAATAATTTTCTTTTATACATAGCTATCTAAATGATCTCAAATTCCTCTGCTAATTCACTCTGGTTACCATCTGTTGTTTTTTTAATGTGCTCTATAAATAAACTTAACTTCATTTACACTTACTTGTACAACTTTTTTGCTCTGTACTACAATGATTTATGTATTGTGAACAAACAGCCTCACCTTTTTAGGAAGGTATTCCCAGTTGCAGTAGGTCTCGCGCTCCCACTGGTCAGCAAACACCTGCAGTTCGTTCTCATAGAACAACTCGTTGGGGATTTTCAGAATGGCAGCATGAGATCTGAATGAAGAACAGAAAGAGGATAAAAAAAGAATCATTAGTAATTAAATCAGCAGGACATCAAACGAATAATTCCAATGAGCCAAACAGAGGTCATCACTGAGAGACTCACCTGTAGTTTCGCAGCAGTTTGGTGACAAAGCGTGTGTCAAAGTGTCCGGAGTCAGTAGTTTTCTGATACAAAGCATTCTGTTTCATCAGCCTTTCCAGCAGAGAAAGTCCTGGAGAGAATTCATATTGCACTGTTAAAACATGTCGTTAATCTGACATGGATTCTAATAATGTAAACGATGGCGTACACTCAGTCAATCATATGCATTTATGCTGTAATGTATAAATAAGCAACAAGAGTGAGAAAGAAACAAAACTCCTTGTCTTACCGAGTCCATGCTGTATTGCAAAAGGGGACCGCAGGATTGGTCCCAGCTGCTTGGGATCTCCTGCCAGCACCAACTGACCGTTCTCTGCACTGAGCAGACCTGCAGAACAAACAGAACATCCAACCAGTCAGTAACAACACGTGTCATTTTCACCACTGGTGTAGTTTTGTGTGAACTCATAAGTTTTTAATGTGTAAGAACAGATACATGTGTCTTATTACTTTATTGATGCTCAGGCTTTAGGTCATAATATAATTTGCTGCAAAGAGTCTGGAAGTTGTAAAAGGCTTCTGTCAGACTTTTAGACAAGGTGTTCACAATTTTTTTATTTATTTTTTTAACTTTTTGAAATGGCAGTCCAACAGTCATGCATATTTTCTGCACCCATGCGCCAAGATTGCAAAATGTTGACAGTAAACAGAGCAACAAAAGCTAATAAAAATTCTGTCCTCCACATTCCTACATCCGCTTACTGACGAACTGCGCCGTTCGCATGCGTTGGCAATGATGAAGAGGCTGTGTGCTTTCAGAGAAGAGACGAGGGAAAGGCAAAGGAAAAGGAAATCTGGATCAAGTTCTGTCTGAGTGAAGAAATCTGTTCGGTGTTTCACAGCCCTCACAGACAGACTGTGCACTCCATCACAAGTACCTATTATGTTCTTTGTGCTGTGGCAGAAATTGTGGCAATTATTTCTTGCTTCCTCTCTAAAATATTTTAAACAAGTTTACAACATCACAAGACTTATATCAAAATGACACTCACAGCATCTAAAATATTATCTTAAAAAGTTGTGATGGATGGGTCCATATACTCTTTAAAATAAATGTTCATCAATTTTTTACCAAAACCAAAGACATATTGTCGTGTAGATATTCAGCTTTTACCTGCAATAGCAATGATGCACTCTGGTTCCACTGCCTGGCCTCCTTCATCCACAAACACATGTGAAAAATGGCCGACTGGGATTCCTCCAGACACGAGTCTGAAAAGAGAAACCCACAGCAGAAGAATGTGCCCAAATAGACTTAATGCTGTATAAAAACTGTACACAATGCATATCATATGCAAGCATATGACTCTTACCTGCCAGCTGTGATCATAGTTGTCACTATGATTTTGTGCTTCATCAGAACTTCTTTCTCTGGAAACACAAAGCTACCTTGTCTCTCATCCCAGTTGCAGTTTTTCTGAAAGTGACAAAAGATATGATAGCAAATATTTTAAATGTGAGGGAGCTATTTGTTTTTGTCCCACATATTCATGCATTCTAAATAAAGAAAAAAAGAGTTTGACAACAACATATTTTTTAATATGTACAAAAATGTCCTCAAGTAGCCACCATTTAAACAAACAGACAAACATCTCAAGTCAGTGAGATCAAGACCACATAATAATATTCTGCAGAACTACGTGTTTGACTTGCTGAGATAAGAGAACACCTTCATTTTCAGTTCTTAAACACTATGGGCCCCGCACACAAAACAAAAAGCAACTCTGTGCACACTAAATCGTTGATGTAAGTTCAGCAGCTGAGGCTCACCAGCAGGTTCTTGGGGACGGTGCTCGGGTCTCGACTGCTGGCATACATTCGGTACACTTGATGAGGATCCATGTGCACCATCAGTCTCTCACAGAGCAAGTCGCACGCGCTGTTCGATGGCGCACAGGCAAGGATGTGGGCTGATGGATCTGCCCTGCTGACCTGACAATGCAAGCAAAGTAAAATTCATTGCTTAATAACGACAGGCTTGTATGTGACCACCAGATGATGGTTTATAGGGAGCCACAGGCTGCAGCTTCACAGCCAGCAGGATCCTGACTGCAGCTGCCATCTATCTCACATAGAAGGGCAGCGACGCTGGCAGATCTGCACAGAATTCAAAGCACACTGTGGCAAGGAAACATGACTAATACTGTACTTTCAAGTAGCAATTTCTTGGAAGCAATCACACAATCAGGCATAATAAAACATATTAGGACATTATTGTCTCTTGCAGGCCCATTACTGTCAAACTTTCATCACAGATGTTTTTGCATGTTCATCAATCCACACGCAGTTTCATGTCAGGGAAATCATCAAACAACATCTATGCAATTTTACAAAATAAAGCCTACATTTTATGGAAAATTAAGCTTTCCTTTCTGAGACTGCCTCCTCTTTCACTGATGAACAGCTCCCCATGGCACACACCTCATTTAATAAATATGAGAGTTTGTAGAGATTCAATGACAGATTGCTGAAATGTTATTATTTCTGTGTGTGTGTGTGTGTGTGTGTGTGTGTACTCCCCCTCACATTTGATATGTATAACTAAACATGCACTAAGTTTGACAAGGAAATAGTTTGGTCATACATTGTAAAGACTTAGACAATAAAATACCAGTTAAGGGTGTAGTTTGATCAGATACACCAGTGCTACTGTGGCAACCAAAGCAAACAGTCGACAATTTCCTGTGTAAAATCCTACTGGCAGGTGGAAAAATGTGACCTCACCTTTTTTTCCAACAAGGCCCAAGTGTTTCAGTTCAGTAAGAAGAGCACAGACAGAACACAAAAAATCTATCACGTGAGATGACCAGTATGTGTCCAATTCTGGCAGATACCAGTGTGTTTGTGTTTCAACCAACAATCATTTTCATCATCAATTAATCTAACAGTAATGTTTTTGATTGACTGTTTGGTCTATGGGATGTTATCAAATGTCTTGTTTCAAAGTCTGAAAATATCAAATTTCAGATTTTGAAATCAGATATTTTACCTTTGCTACCTCTTACACAAGGGGAGCTTATAAAATATCTTGTTTCAAAGTCTGAAAATATTAAATATACTATGATGTAAGAAAAAAACAACAACTTAAAAACAGCACATATTGAACACCTCATACCTGATGCATAGCTTCAACCAGAGTGATTGTCTTTCCAGTTCCTGGAGGCCCAAACACGAGATGAGGAGCAGGTTTTGATGATCCAGCTATGATGCGCTGGACCGCAGCATGTTGTTCCGGGTTGTTTTCCAGCTTACGGTTGAACATACTGGAGAGTAAATTGGAAACAGATTGTTTCAGCTTACATACAAGTGACATACTTTTAAATTTTAAAATGTGGAAAAACCATGAATTGGGCTAAAAGTGGCTAGCTATGTGAAGCAAAACCTTCAAAATGTGTATATAAAATCCTAAAATTGTTACAATCAGTTCTAAGCAGATTACACTGGTATGTTTGTCTGGAGTGTGTACCAGTGCTCCAAAGCTGAAACCAACTCTAATTTATGAGAGAAGTTTATGGCATCACACCAAAGAACAGTATCCTCTTCTGTTAGTATAATACGGTGGATAAATGCCCGAAAATAATTCAGGCAAAGCTTGCTGAGTATACACACTCATCATTAGCAGCTCATCATTCTCTTATCACCAAAGCCAGGCAGTTTAAACTTCTCTCTACAACAAGTGCAGCATATGAGATAGAGCACTTTAAGGTGGTTAAGTTTGCGTGTTTGTAGATGAAACTCTTCATACAAACTGGCACCAGACCTGAGTTTAGGCATGGGAAGATGAGTCGCTGCTGCACCAGATGGGAACAGCACCTCTCCAAGCTGATGTTTTGCTGCCAAGTCCACTGCCCTGTGCTGCAGCTTCAAAGGGAACCGGTTGAGAGTAAACTCCACGTCAAACTTCATATTGCTGATAAAAGTCTGCACCAACCTGTAATAAATAAAAAGTAGATAACATGTGAGCTAGGTTCCTTTTATTCTTAAGCATCCTTATTCTAACTCTTACCTTTTTGAAAAGCCAAGCTTCACACTATCCAGCTCTACTCTGTGCACATATCCAGTGTAAACTGTGATCGGGTCAGCGTCCTCAGATTTGGACACCCTCAGGCAATCGCCTCGAAGTACAGATGGCCGATTCTCAGCAACACCAGGAACCTGTTGGGGGACACTGATGTTGGTCTTTTTTTTTTTTTGCTGTATTGTAATACAGGGTATCCAAGGGGCCATTTCATGTCAGAAGCAGCACTGCACATGCAAAGGCCTAGAGTGGTCTCCTGCTTACATTCAAGCCGTGGCACAACTCAGAACTTGTCAGCTCTCACAAAATGCCTAAAACAAAATAATTACATGAAGCCACAAAGGCAGCCATCTTGACACTGCTAGAAATTGGCATGAGTGAGAGACAGGCAGCGAAAAAACAGAAGATTTCCAAGACAACCGTTCATTACACCAAGAAAAAACAAGCCCAACATGGTACTATCAAACTTCTAGCTGGTCACGGCAGGAAATGTCTTTCTACCCCACAAGATGACTATGCGCTCATCTGTTCCTGTGTCAGGAATCGTCGTCACACCTCCAGGGACCTTAACAATGAGTGGTTGTTGAGAAATGTGACTTGTTCAGCAAGGACAGTTCGAAACAGACTTCTTGAAGCTGGCCTGAAGTCACACAGGGCACAGAAGAAGCCCTTCATCAACAGAGAGGCAGAGGAAAGCCTGGTTACTCTTTGCTGGGATCACAAGGATTGGACTGTTGAATGTTTGGGCAAAGGTTCTCTTCAGTAATGAATCCAATTTTCAGTTGATGCTCACTCCAGCCAACTTTCTGGTTATAGGAGGAAGCCTGGAGAAGCTTACAAACCAGACTGTCTTGACCGACAGTAAAACATGGGGGTGGATCAGTGACAATCTGGGGTTGTTTCAGTATGGGTGGAACAGGCCAAATGCAATTGTGTGAAGGGCAAATGAACCAGGTCATGTTCAGGGCTACTCATGAAAACAGTCTTCTTCTATCAGCTGGAAAACTCTTTCCTGCCTTGAATGACTGGATTTTCCAACAAGACAATGGCCCTTGACACACTGCGAGGTCAGTTAAAGCCTGGATGGAGAACCAGAACATCCAAACCATGCCTTGGCCTCAATCACCAGATCTAAATCCAATTGAAAACTTGTGGAAAATCATCAAACGCAAAATGGAGAACCACAAGCCCCCCCAAAAGAAGGCAAATTTGTTTGAATTTGTGCAACAGGAATGGGCTGATGTGACAGCAGGACAATGTCAGAAGCTGGTGAAGATCATGCCAAGACGCATGGCTGCAGTCATCAAAAACAATGGTTATGCAATCAAGTACTAACTCCTGTGTGTATCATGTGACTAAAACAGACAGAAAAGAAAACATGGAATGCCTAAAAGCACTGTCTTTGGCAGTACAATGCCATAGCTATTGATGTAAGAACTTAAGTAATTTTGATCACTATCAAGAAAACCATTGAAGATGGCTAGACTTTAGCTCTTAAATTAAACTCTCATGAACGATTTTTATTTTTATCATTATATTTGTCCAAACAAATGTACCTTTAGTTGTACCAGGCATTAAATGGCCAAGAAATTGAAGAAGACAAGAGTGGTCTAATAGGTTTTTCCATGACTACATATATTATGGCAGACTTTTCATCTTTCACAAACATAACTACTCATTTTCAGATCACTCAGATGTGATAACAGATTCCTTTGGCTGTACTTTTGTTGACTTAAACCTCCTCTGTCATCACTGCCATTAGCCTGTGTTTTTATGTACTTTGTCCATCAGTGTTGTGACTGTCAAATGTAAACCAATGATTTTATCTGCAGCTCAGCTGCTTGCCTGCTGGCCAAGATAGTATCTGACAATATATAAATAAATAAATGTGTGTACAAGGAAACTATATCATGACTTTAGCTGCTTTAAACACAGAATAGCTGACTGCGGAAAGCAGAAGTTTAACAGATCACTTCCTTCCCTCTCTAAACCCCCAAAAATAGTTTTGCTGGCCTTTGTGGGAAGACAAAGTTATAAATAAAAAAATTAACTGAAATTGTACGCGTTGGGGATGCAAGCGGCTCCAGTAACAACAGATTCAGTTTGTAAACAAAAGGTACGGAGTATATATGGTATATGAATTATTATTAAGATCTCTTTACTCTGAGTGTGAGAAGCTTCCTGTTGCTTTGGTCCTGAGTCATGGTTTGATTGTGGAGGTCGTACTTTCTGATGTCCACCTCCATCTGTATCTCCTCCAGGTGCAGCAGGAGGTGAAATCGATGGGAGTAGTTCTTCATCTTCAAGGGACAGTTGAGGAGACTCCTGGGGATACAGAATGAGCAGACACGTTGGAGAATAATTCCACAACACACTTAACGGACAAAAGGCACGATTACTTGTTGTGACTGAGATCCCTCTCTCACTTCACTGATGCAAGTTTCTCTCTGGCGGTCGGAGAGAGGTACTCAGAATCCTCCATCTGTTGTTTAGCCAGTTCCTTCAGGTAATAGGGGTACTTGTAGTCTCCTAATTTCACTGTCATCCTCAGAGACTGGATGACAGAACTGCAGAGGAGAGCACATCACATCATTGTCATCTGTATAATTCAGTGTTCGTAAATGTTCTGGGTCCTTTTAGTTATCACAAGTCCATAAGAAGAAATTACTTTCAACCAGCTCCAAAACTAAATATTTACACTGAAGTCTGGTCATTTTATCTGGAAATAGTGAGAGAGTATGATGCATTTTTCCATTAAACTACAAGAGCGGTATCATCATCTAACAACAAATCATAAAACAGGTTGTCAGTTTTGAATAACTCACCTCTCGGGTGGTACTCCCTCCACTACCACGCTGCCGACACGCTTGTATGTGGCCACCTGAAAAGGTTTATAAGGAGCCACGGGTCCCAGCTCCACAGCCAGCGGGGTCTGAGCTTCAGCTTCCATCTCCCTGACAATGCAGAAAGGCACTGATCCGGGAAGATCCGGGCAGAACTCAAAGTACACTGTGGCAGGGAAATATCCATAGTGGTTCAGCGTGTACCGAACCACAACTTCGTAGCTCTCATCTGCAGAAGAAAAAAAGAAACACGGAAGAATGCATAATGATTAACTCTGCATTCAGTGTGGTTTTTTTTGTCATTTAAAAGACAGAGGAGGCGTGTTTGTTGCCTCACCTGGACAGAGGAACAGCGGACAGGCTCTGGTCACCCTCCTCTCATCCTCCAGCGTGAAGCAGCGTATCCTGTGCAGGGCAGTGTAGTAGGTGAAGTGGATGCAGTTTGTGCCCTTGTTTACAATGTGGAACCTGACAACGAACACCTCCCTCAGACGAGTCACAGTGAACTTAACCTTTCCACCGCTCGCCACAGGGTCTGAAGTGATCTTAATGCCTCCCTTGTCAGCCACCAGCTCCTTCCTACAAGAGAGAAAGGTAGCATGTGGGAAAAATATTGCAAAGTCCGCACATCCTGGCTGACATACCATGTAGCCGCAACTTTTGCAGTTTGAGTCTAACTGGGGACCATGATCATAGATTTTTTTTTAAAATACAAAAAAGTAAGTACTTTTTGCTTGATTGAATTGGACAATACCTTTGAAATTTAGTACCTGATCTACTTTTCTGACAACCTTAAAGATGGCACTGTCAAATATTGACAATTAATGATTACTGTCAGAAAATACAAGGTGATGGAAAAGCAGTTTTCTGTTGATGGTTTTGGTTTTCAGGAATATCTGCTGCAGAACACTATTAGACATTGCAGACATTACTATTTCCTATACAGCTAACCTCCCACTTATAGCAAAACTACAAAGAAACTGTAGAATCACCCTGCAGTTATAGAGAAGACAAATCTCTCCAGGGTGTTGTTCCCTCCACAGTATCTGTGTATTTGTATCATACAGTATTTGTATCATACAATACATACTGAAAGTGGGCTTTGAGGCTGATACTGATGTCGGTATTTGTGTCCGATATGCTATACTCTACTATATCAGATACTGATACAGATCCCTTTACAGGGATTACAACAGCTGCATTGAGCAGTGTAGGGGGCTGCACTGGTGGTGGCTTCTCAGAAACCAAAGCTCTGCACACACCACTGCATGCAAGTTGCCACAGTGGAAACGATTCTATCTTTTGTCATCTTTTGTTCCATCAGCTACTACAAAGAAGGAAGCTAAACAGATGCGCTGATTATGAGTTCTGAAGGTTTCCCGACTGGTGTAGCCAAATATCTCAGATCTTTGCCTTCAAATCTCCATTTAAATTGCGGAATTCAAGGTGATATGTTTCACTCAATAATAATAATTTTAAAAAAAGATGATTCATTCTATCATTAGCTGTAGCTGTTCTACAGAAGATAAAGTAAGAAGAAACAGGCTTTTGATTCTTATTGGTTTTCTAAGCGCTGCATAGTCTGACTTTATCAAAATTGCATTCTGAGTCTGCTTACAGGTTAATACCATGTTTCAATTGTTGTAATTTAGTTTAGTACTGTTTTATTTGTTTGTTTCAGTTTGTTTAAATTACTTAACCTAACCATAATTTCTCTGTAAAGCACTCTGGTCACCTCACTTCCCTTTATATTTGATTTAACTTGACAACAATCATAATAATCTCCAAGGAATGAGGTCGTTCTAATGTGGCCTTGGATTGTTGTTTTTCAAGAATTGTGAAGAAAACATACATCCTGAGCGAAGAAAAATGAACTTTCCAGTGCTCTCTGGTGGATGAACTATGTAGCACTGTTTTGTACATGACCCAAAAGCTATACTTAACACAAATATGCACAATATCCAATCTTCTTAAAATTGGGAAGTAAGTATTGGAATGGCATCTCTACAACAGAGTGGACGTCACGAAACAACCACATAGAAACTGCATTGGAAATGATAATGGGCAGATTAAGAGTAGCTTCAAGACCCAGAAATCACAAATCTGTCACACACATGCAGTTCATACTGATGTTGCTTGAGGAATGTCGTCCCACTCTTCCTGAAGGGTTTGATGAAGTTGGTGGACATTTTGTCGGGACAGGATCACGCTGTTGGACACATCCATCCGGAGCATCATGTGACAAATTTTCTGCCATACCATGGTGTCTGAAAGGAATTCTTAGATAACTAATGCTGGACCTGTGAATATTTCAGTTCCTGGCTACAATCCTCACTGACACGCCAGCTTCCAGCAGACAAACATCCTGTTCTTGTCTTTCTGATGTCCTCCGTGGCAACTTTGAATAAAGCTGCATTTTAAGCTGGTCTTTTATAATCACTCGTCAAAGGAGTCTGTGTAGTGGTCATGCTATCTGATCACTGGCCCTAAATGTCACACCCTTTTCTAATTGTAAAAACAGAATTTAGATTTTTAACTTTTTCTCTAAGTAAGAAAAAAAGACCATCTACATGCCACACTTGTATTTTATATATCTATAACAAGATATGATGGGTCCGTCTACAACTTAATTATTAAACCCAGTCAATACCTGCTTATCCGTTATCTTTAATTGCAAGTCATGGTGGAGTGACAGGGCACACCCTGGATGGGTCCATCACATGCACACAGATGGCCATTTGTGTTCACATTCACGCCTTTGGGTAGTTTAGAGGTGCCAGTCAGCCTGCATGTCTTTCGACTGCGAGAGGAAACCCATGCAGTCACGGAGGAGAAAGTGCAGACATTGCACAAAAAGGTCTCAGAAGGTTTATATCTCGGACATTCTTGTCACAGGCTGAACACTCTCCTCTCATCTCATTTTCCTGTTTGTATATCTGTGGGTCCTTTTCTCATGTCTTAGTCCCTCCCAGCAGAGGCAAGAAAAAAACACGAGGACAGAGGAGTCGAGGCAACAGGTGTTGAACAAAATGAAACATTCTCGCCTTGGAGTTGCTGTTGAAAAGTGGCAATCAATTAAATATGATGTGTGGCGCCACATTCATTCTAATGTACAGTATGTATTCAATTGTAATTAAATTTTTCAATGTGGTAGAATGTGACTAGAATGTACAGATGTCCTATATATAGAATTTCTTTTCAAAGTTATTTTTTTGGCCTTTTAGCCTTGATTAGATAGGATAGTCGAGAGAGAGACAGGAAAGTGGGGGAGGAGAATGGGGAAGGACTTGCAGCAAAGGGCCATGAGCAGGACTCGAACCCATGGCCGCTGCATCGGGGACCATAGCCCTCGTACATGGGTCGCCAGCTCAACCAGGTGAGCCAAAGCGGTGATCCTAGATGTCCTATATTTTGGAATTTTTTTATTTTGCCAGAGACACACGGCGAAGTATAAAAGAGTTGGTGCGCACAAATGAGTACAATACAAATAAAGCGTGACATATTATGGTTCAGTAATACACATTAGACATATTTGTCAGTCCTCCTCTCAACATGGTTTGTATTATCCTGATGCGGGTCTACTTTATGTCATGGGTGCGTAAAGGGTTCATCGAGGATACACCTGTGAATCCTCGCCCATAACTCCAGCAAGCCTCTGTCCTCCAGATGCATTTTAGCCATTTAGAAGTCCTTTGTGATGCAGCACCAAGATTGGTTTCTGGATCATGGCCAGGAGGACGGAGGAGACAAGGAGGTTAAAATTAATTTCATGACATGAGCCTCTTGTTTCCTCTCCACTCAAGACTTAACCAACCAGATGAACAAGCCCTGTGTTCCTCTGTGCTGAGCTCCTTTGTTATAACTGTTCACACAAGTCTGGAGGCATGAACTTAATTCCATTGCACGGGTGGTTATGGAACTGACTGTAAATGTTACAGCTGCACGTCACTGAGTGAAATGTATTGCAGCACCTTACAGAGCACAAACTTAAATGCATTTACCTGTTCACCTTCAGCTTGTGAAGGATTTCTGACACAAGCTTTTTCTTCGGGGTCAGCACAGGGGTCAGCACCGGGGTCGCGGCGGAGGAGGGTGCAGGAGTCTGAGCTGTGGCCTGAGGGGCCCGGGGCCTCCTCCACTGGTCACAGTACACTCTGACCTACAAATACAACAGGACGCTTCCTCATTTAGTTTCTCCTTTTTTTTCCCCCCCTTCTCAACAAAACACAAAACATGTCCAGACTCATCTCCCCACAGCAGGAGCCATTAATAGCAGGCAGCACAACACTAATGATGTCATATCTTACCTGAGGTTTGACATTTAGGTAGATTTTCCCCTGTCTTATCCGGACTTTGTGGTATTTCAGGAGAGCATAGACAATGTTGGAAAAGTTGGGATGTTTATGTCCTGTGCTGTGGACATGAGAGACAGAGGGGTGTTAACACAGCCCAGTCTAACTGAATATGTCACACAGTGTTTCTACAGCTTACCTGCCCTTAAATTCAGAGTTGTAGATGTCTCGAAGTTCCTTCTTGCTGTTGTTGGATATTCTGTCTCCCAGAAATTCAATGAAGTCCAGTCCGGAATTAAGCGAGTTTATGATCGACGACATGTCGACGTGTTTCCAGCTGACTGCTACCGAATATCGACTGGCTGACCGTAACTGAGGAAGTTCATCTGCTGACAACTATTACCCTCAGTTTCCTGAAGCATTTATGTGGCTGCTCGGTGTAAACGCGGCGAGGACATTTCCACATGTTGTGTATTTTGCGCGACCTACACGCATATCCACAATGTAGGCTATGGGAATCACGCATAGATTTCTCATTCATTATTTAGTTTGAAACAGCCTTCAAGTTATATGTATATCTACCATTTGGCGCATTTAGCGCAAAACCCGAGCTGATGAACGCTCTCCAACGGTGCCAGTCAGGGAGCGTCTGAAACTGCGTTTCACAAGAAAAGCGAAAACACGTCGGCGACACAACAACATATCAGGTGGAAACTAAAAACGTCAGAGAGAAGTGTTGTCCCGTTAAATGTTTTTTAAAGGTCTAGAATTAACATTTTCTCTCCCGTCTCATATGACGAGCAGGTTACACTCTCTTCCTGAGACATGTTGTTGTTGACACTCCCTGGTCCGCAGGTATTACACAACCAGCAGCACGTCTAACACATTCATGTATTTTATTACTTGCTGAAATACACCCAGCCGCAACTTCTTTTTTTTTTTTTAAATCTTATTATTATTTAATCAGCTCAGATTAATACACTCAAATTCTGCCCTTAGAGTCCTAAAGATTTTTAATTTGCAAGAATATATTTGAGATTTGCCATTTTAACTTGATTAATGACCAAAATAATTAGCAGATTATCAAAATTAAGGATTTTGTTTTGCTTAAACAAAACATAAACGGCTGGCAGAAGCACAATACTTTTTTTTCATTTACAACTACACAAAGGTTTAAAAGATAAAAGGCCTAAAAGTTAAGCCACAAAATTCAGATAAATTAGGGCTGCAAACAAACATTATTTTAATTATTTCATGCTGTTTGTTCAAGTTATTTAAAAAAATGACTTGAGCAAATATTTTTAGAATAGTTCAGAGTGAAGAGTTACTTTTTCCCTTTGTTTTATATTATAGCATACTGGGACCTTTGGGTAAAAAAATAAAAATAAAAATACACACACAAATATATATAATATAAAACAGTCCTCACTCTGAACCATCTTCTATTCTTGTAGCTTGTTTTTTGCTTCAAAAATGATTAGAGCAGCATATTACTAAAGCAGCTCCTGGTTAGTTTTCTGTTAATTACTTACTGTTTACTGCATTAATGTTTTTATTTTTTTTCTGGCCTGTTTGCCTTTATTACTTAGAATAGTGGGAGAGTGAGGCAGGAAAGGGGGAAGAGTTGTGAGCAGGAGTCGAACTCACAACCGCTGCGTCGGGGAGCCCCTGTTCATGGGTTGCCCACTCAACCAGGTGATCTATAGGGAACCCTGCATCAATCATTTTAAGCTAAATCCTGACATAAAGTTTCCATTGAAAAACAAAAAGAAACCCAAAAACATCAAAATATGTTTTTGGGTACAGCTGTCCTTCCACAGTGTTTTTATGTATTTGGATAACAGCACTACCAAACACGATAGTTTTGCCAACAAATACATCAACACAAGTCATATGCGCTGTGTCCAGTGTCTAAAAATGAGGTCACAAGTTTTAAAATCAGAGATGAAAATGTTTGACTAGTATAACATTTAATTGTAAAATTAGAGCTTAATTGCAGATATTAAAACCTTTCAGGTAATATAGTTGTATGTCTAAAATCTGCAATTTTTAGTCTAAAATACTACATCACCTATAAACTTGATAATAAATTCCTCCTCAGATCAATAACCACATCAAATTCCTACAAATGATACAGACATAATTATTTCAGTACCCTCAAATAAACACCTGGCAACAAGGCTTACACCAAAAAATCCAAACATGACGCAACAGAAACGATCACCACTGCTTGAAAGACCATATTTGGTGCAATATTTTTATTTCATGAATAATAAATGTACTTACAGTCTGTATAAAAAATATAGCACAAGCTAAAGGCAAACAGCTGGCAAGAGGACACCAATACTTGATCAGTCCGGGGGGATAAAGAAGTATTATCACTGAAATTATCTCTCTACAACAGAGAAATAATTAAAAAAAAAAAAAAAACTAAACTAAACTTAAGGAGGGAAGGCAAAATCTGGTCCAGGAATAGGAAATTTGTATTAAAAAAAAAAGACATCTATGCTTTGGCATGCCGTCTGGTTACAAGTCCACAACCAGAGGAATGCATAATATGTATGTAAGTATTTATACTTTTATATATGGAGGCTTTTGACTGAAAAATAATTTGATGCTGTAAAGTCTGTCTCCTGTAACTTAACTTCTGAATTGCATATAGTACTTGCCCTCTGTTAATAAAAAAAAAACAACTATATAGGAGGTATTGGAAGCTCTCAAAGAATATTAGTTATGTTTTATCGAAAGTGTAAATTAGTGGCTACATTAAAATCAAGGGGGTTTTGGGGGATGCATGTCTGTTTGGAGCACTGAGGGATCACAAACTGTGTGTATAATTTGTATGTGAGAATTTGAATGGCAGGGACTCACCCAATCTTTCACAGTGTCACTAAAGGCATTATTTGTTTAACAAATAACATGTTTACAAATGACAGTTAAACCACTCAGCGGCATTTGAAAATGAAGGCACCCCCTCTCAGTGCTCAACAGAAACTGTAATTCTCTGGAAGGACATACAGTATGTTATGCTGCATCACACATCTTTGCGCCATCAGTTTGTTTTAACTCCAGCAGATGCCTGTTCTTTAGGCGTTCTGCATCTCTTTGCCAATCTTGTAGCTAAGGATCTTGTTCCACTCGACCTTTGCACGGGTGACCGGGAGCTGTCTACGTAAGGCTTTGAATGTGGTGTCTGACATAGTCTGATAGTTCTCACTAATGGCCACCTGAAAAACAGAAGAGAGATAAGTACGTCAGTCATGCTTTCTAGCTACAAACAAGATTATTATGTACTCTGTCAGTTCCAGATAATCCTACATAATTTTCAGAAGGAAAAAGCCAAGTGTGAGCTTTGGGAGGATGAAAATGGAATGTTATGTAATGTTGTACAAACTATAATGATTGTGCAATGATTTTGGAATCTTTGTTCAAGTGTTTAAGTTTGCTAACATTCTTTCATAACCTGGGAAAGAAGCTGTTTATTTAATTTGTCTTAATTAAGATTTTTCCATTATTTTGTAGAACATGTTTTGTAGTGTGATTAGAGGACGGTATAGTAGACATGAGCAGAACTGCACAAAGGTTACTTGTAAGCAATAGCGAATCTTCTTTCAAAAACAATAGCATGAATAGCTTTGATTTATCAAATGGCTTCACATGAAATGCAATAAACAGAAGCAAATCAACATTTGTTCTCGTAGGCACATATGAGTCATTGTTTTTCAAGATACTTGGTAGGTAGGATCCATCCATCCATTATCTATACACCGCTTAATCCTCACTAGGGTCGCTGGAGTCTATCCCAGCCGACTTACTGCGAAGGCAGGTTGCCAGTCTATCGCAGGACCACACTTAGAGACAGACAACCAAGCACACTCACATTCACACCTAAAGACAATTTAGAATCACCAATTAACCTCAACATGTTTTTGGACTGTGTGGGAGGAACCCGGAGAACCCAGAGAGAACCCACGCTGCACGGGGAGAACATGCAAACTCCACGCAGAAAGATTCCGGTGCCCCCACTGGGACGCGAACCGGCAACCTTCTTGCTGCGAGGCAACCGTGCTAACCAAATGTGCCATCCTGCAGCCCTGGTAGGGAGGATGTTCTGACCATATTAGAGAACTTAATACAGTTCTTGTGTGACTTGAGGTGTTATTCTTATATGCGGGCAACTTCCACATACCTGATATTCATTCTCTGCATCCTCAATAATTTTCACCAGCTCCTTTGCAGTTTGGCTCTCATTCTGCCAAAACATACATTCATGGGTTATTTAAAAAGAAGCTAAACACACTTTCTAAACTTTAATATTGAACTGAAAGAGAAACTACCAATACAACAGAATACTCACAGTCACAGTCAGTGACTCCTGTATATCTTTATGGCTCACCAGCTGCACATTTCCATCCTCATAATAATGTACCTGGAAAATTAGTGGAGATAAGACTGGGATGATGGACACAGCAGAGAAACGAAACTAACGTCACAGCTAGTAATCACTCAACATACCTGTATTTTCAAGACTCCAACCACCTGAGCTGTAGACTGTGAGACACTGAACTTCCATTCAGACCTGCAGCGACCATTCCTGTAACAGAAAATGTAGAAGAGGATGCTTGAAAACCGATGCCAAACACATCAATGCCTCCGTACTGCACCAACATAATTGACTAGGTGAATCTGATTAGCAAGTTTAAAAGGGATCATTATCCTCCATCTACTTACCAGAAGTTTTTAGGCTCAAATTGATGGCCCTCGATACAAGCGATAATGGTCTGCTGGCCATCGATAGTTTTCCCATAAACCTGAATCAAATAAAACAGAATGAGTGGGTGGTTTATTGCATTTAATGCTGAAAGTGGCAGCTATAGTGCAGACTGGAAGAGTGATCTTACAGTGCAGACTCCGTTGGGGTAGTGCTCCTTGACGTAGGCCCGAAGAGCAGAATCACAGGCATCTCTCCATGAGCGGAGGGCTGCCTCGCCTTCATGGGACTGGGGGTCGCTGGCCTCCTTCCTCAGGTGGTCAAACTTGAAGGAGATCTTGTTGTGAGGGTCAAAGAAGCGACCGTTACCCAGGTCTCCATGTTCCGTTATCAGAACCTATAGGGGCAGAGAAACCTGCTGTTACTGTAGCAATTTACACAGGCACAATAATATAGACAATTGCTAAAATTTTAGTGGATTCAAAAGCAAGAGTAAATGATTAAAATCCTAAAAAAAAAAGAGAGAGAGAGAAAATGCTTGCCTGATCTTCGTATCCATCAACTTTGGCACGGGTGAACTGATCCATGTTGTACTGGGCGAAGGCACTGTATCAAAGGAGAATACAAGCATAAGTTGCATGCACAACTACTGCATTGTTATTTGGCTAGATTTTAAGAAAAGAAAAGAGGAAAACTTACTGAGCTGCCCCTTCTCTGAGAAGATTATCATTGTTGAGCAGTAGTCGCACATCTGAAAATAAAGATTAGCATAAGATAAGCATTGACAATATTTTCTATACACAATAATTACAGTAAACCTGTAAACCGGAATAAAGACTGACCGTTGAAAACTTCATTGAACTCCCCAGGAGGAGCGTGCATCACAAAATTGGCAGCAATGCGGACCTAGAAATAAACAAAACATCTTGTTACAAAACTTGAAAATAGTAAGAAGCATAGCATTATTACTAAATACAGCGATGATGCTGTTCCCTTTCCTCCTCTAAGAAACCTGGTGGAGCAGAATAAAAAACGTTTTGTTCATTGAAACCTAAAGCTTCTCTGCTCGGCATCATTTAATTTATTGATTGATTGTTTTTAAAGATAAAGCAGGTGTCTAAGAAAAGTGGAAAAACCTGAAAATAGCCACTAGAGTGAAGCAGAGAGCAGCGGACTAACTTTCTTGGCTGCAGGCGTGTTAGCTCTCTTTTGGCCACTCCTTAGATGGCAGGCTGTATATGTCACCCAAGGGCTTTTCTTAGCAGCCAGTATGCATGTGTAAGCATGTGGTGTCAAAGCCACAGAGTTAAGGGGTTTAGACAGGTACTGCTACACTCATAAGGTAACACTCGGTACAGACTGCCAGTTATTGGCAAATTCTACATTTGTATCAGGAAGCACATGCCGAGCAATGTTCTTAGTCCAAAGATAGGTTCAAACAAGTCCTCTCTCATCTTTGCATCAGTCATGTGTGACCCTGACAGCTTTAATTAGTCCTCACATCCCAACGAAGCTGCCACATTATAGTGTGGCTGCCCCAGTGATGTGGTCTGTCAGGCAGACAGGGTTATTAAAGCCTTCAGGGCTGCAGCTGGCACTGACCTACAACTGGGCCGTCCGATGGAAAGGGCAGCGGTATATTACAATGAGTAACCTAGTTTTATTGTGATCTGGGATAGACACTCCATTCAGATCCCAGAAAGCACTTAGACTCAGCTCCTCCAGCATTTAATTCAAATTCAAGATTGTTAGATGCAGACACTATGAAGGCAGACTATTGTTAAAAGCAAAATAGGAAACTTTAATCTCGCTATCACACTGACTTATTTACATTTATTTTGAATGCACACTGCAGCACTGCTGAGAGGGGTAAATTCCTGGTCTCACCATCAGCTTTAGGAATGCAAAGCGTTATTTTACAACATGTTGCAGCATGATGCAGGCAGCAGCGCCAGTCACCAGCAAGGCCCAATACCACGGCAGCAAGATGTGTCCAGTGCACAAAGTTGCAGACACACACTGCAAACCCAAAAAACTCGAGCATGTGGGACAAACTGAAACTCCTGATGTTATCTCGACCAGTTTTAGGAAGCTGCGTTAACTGACAGTGAACTGGGTGTGGGTGGTGTTTTACTGCCGACGCTCTGTCATTATCCTTACTGTAAATGCAGGAAGTAGCTCCACTTCCCTCGATTTAGCATTAGCTAAGCAATTAATCATAAAGCACAGTCACAGCTAAAGTCAGACATCGACCGCAGCCTAAATATTAATCAAAGAGAGGCTGGAATCATACGTGTTAGCTAACTTAGACTAATGTGTTTGTGCTACGGAAGCTAAGTTCAGCTCTGAACTGTCAAATACAACAGTGCCTTGGTTTAGCTAGCTCCACCAACAGCTAACACGGTCCGCTGGGCAGCTCCATCTACACTACAAGCATCTCACAGAGCCCTGCTGCTGTTTAAAATAAAGGGTAGCGATAGTAGAGTATTTATAATATGAAATTTTAAGGTAATACCTTCTCTTCATCGCTGAGCTCCTCAAATTCTGCCATGTTGGTTCAATGAAGTGTTAACAAAGCGACCAGTGGATGTTGCCAGGTATGTGTGACTCCTCCCAGCACAACCATCCGGAAAACAGCTCTGTGTGCTTGAGAACAAAACATTCACGTCGTCCACATTACACCGTGTAAAAACTGCTCAAACAAGAGAGGAGACTAAGACGAACAGATGCTCAAATGTTGAACAACGTAAAAGTGTTCACGTACTATCACAGTGTTATAAAATTGGAGTTTTTTTTGTTTTTTTTAAATAAAGCATTTTTTCTATATTTTAAAAAATCTATATTACATAGAATATACAATATGGGCTAATATGCGTTGTCTTCCTCCATTTGAAATTCAGGAAACATCATAATATACACACATTTCACATACAAACCGAAGCGATATCCCGATATCCCAACCTGGCAACCCGGCTGCCTTCTCGTCTTTTGGGAAGGGTAGCAGGTCGACAGATGGGGGGGGGGAGTTTATGATTTGTAGTTAGTGCTGAGAAAGTATAAATACATAAAAACATTTACAATATGGCACTGCTATTTAAAAAAAAATATAAAATCATTTATTTTGTAGTATTTGTGTTTTATTAGTTTACTTGAAGGCCTAAAGCAAATGAAGAGAGTTTAATGTGAAAAAAGCACCAGTTCACTTTATGTTGGGGTGAGACTACATTTTGGCTACTGCTGGAAACAAACAAACAAACAAACAAGTAAAACACTGACTAGAGTTTTTCCTATGTGTTTGGGTTTGTTTTGGTTTTGTTTTTTAAACAGATCATTTTAATCTTAGTGAATTTGCTTCAACCCACTTCACAGCCTATACAGACGTTCACCTTTTTATTTTGTATTTGGTGACAGAGGCTTATTGAATTCACACATTTAAAGCCAAGTCATATATTACAGGCCTGAGAATTAAGAGAAAGAAATAACACACAGAGTGATTGAAAAGAAATAAAAAAATGCTTAAGATAAATAATGAATATGAATCACTCTAATACTTATTATATATTAAATACTGAACAAAGGGATTCACTCATGATATACATTATATATGGTTGTGAAAGGAGACCAGTAATCCTGCGAATTCACTCATCCTGAAATCAGGTCACTTGATCAGTGGGTAACAGCCATTTATTTATGAAGCTGCTTCTTCTACCATTCAGCACAGAGACTTTTTATTTAGTCAGATAGTAGCCTATGTATTGGTATTTTAACGAAATTCAGTTTATTTGTCACCTTTGTCTCTTATTAGATAGTAGGTAGTGACTTAAACTGTATTTATGTCAATAATATATCTATTTATTTTAGTGATTACAACATGAATGCTATTTTCTCTATTTGTAGGAGATCTCTTTAATGTGGATGAAGACCCACAAGAGAACATACAATAACTATAATTGTCTGGGCTCCCTCCACTTTGTCAGGTTTTGTGTTCTCTGTATAACCAGGACTTTACATCTGCTGAATGTGAAACTTCAACACAATCGTAAATGAAAGATGATGTGAATAAAACTGTAAGTCTTTTCTGACCTGGGGCACAGGATACAACACCAGGGAAAGCTCATCCCCTAAACAAAACACAAAGAAAGGGTCAGAGCTGATCAAAGCCATTGGACTCTGCACTAGTGCTGGATTTGGACATCAGGGAGGCATGAAAAAATAAAGAAGTACAGTCGTGACTCGATAATTCGACCCTTAACAATCCGAAAACCTTGCTATTTGACAGGTTTTTAGGAAAAATGAACGAAACCAATGAAAAATAGCCTTAACATATTGACAGCCTTGGATTCCGACTTCGACATTGTTCGATTGTTCTTAGGTACAATAATAAACCTTCAGGATAGTGTTGGAGCTGAATCTCAAGCCACCAGAAATTAAACTATGTGTGAGATAGCTCCTGCGCATTCGTTTAATGAAGCAATAGGAGAAGATATTTAGGTCTCACTCAATGTATTTATTTATCAGATAGTTGAATAAGCATACAGAGCTCTGGATCAAACTTCTCACCCAAGCACCAACAAAGTTACTGTCAGGGCACGAAGTCTGACTGACTGCCTCGCCCTGATCCAGTATACTTATACTATTACATTAGAATGTGCACAGAATGTGTTGCAGCAAGCTGATTGGCCCCTCCATGTCCTTGAGCCTTCTTTCACCATCTCGTAGGTGCAGAGACTTGCCACTCTGCACCCTCAGTTTCTCCCTCCTGCAGATACCTACTAATGACAGAGAAATACATGAACCACCAAATCTGGTCTCCACTTACGCTTTCTCATGCTGCAATTATTTATCAATTGTGGTGATTATGCCTTCAGATAATAATGTGAGATTAAGATAATAATAAAAGGTGAGGAGAGTAACACCAAATTATCAAAATATCAAATAATGTGAGATCAATATAACAAGAGGTGCAGAGAATAATACTCGTTTATCTAAATATGAATTAAAGATATATGTAAAAAATATATGATCCTGACAATAGCCAACATGACAATCACTCACACACACAATGTGTCCTGGTCCACTCCTTTTATTGTCTCCCCCCAGGCCCCTCCACACACTACAGCCTGAAAGTTCCTATGGCACATCACTACATCCCCCTTTCTGAATAATATACATGTCTTGAGAGATGCATGAGTGGCCATAAAGAGAACAGTCATGGAAAATTCTTCAGGGAAGTACTGCCCGTGCGTTCCGGCCACTTCCACCCAGTCGGAGTACACCCCCAGGGTGAAAGTGCCCCCCCGACCGCGCCAAATATTCAGATATTCATCATTAATTGGGCCTGAATATCCAGAGACCTGGGGCCTGCACTACGAAGCAGGATTTGGGGTTAGCGACTTCAGGTTAATTCCTGGGTTTTATAACAACTATAAACAATAAACATCAACAACAAATTACACTTCAAGCATCAAGCCCTCCTTGTATCTCGACCTCCATCCTGACAATCCAACAGCCTTGCTATCCAACATGAAAGAAGGTTTTACATTTAGTGTAGAATTATTGAGTCACGACTGTCATATATGTCTTGACCCTAAGAGGCCATGCAATGTGTAGTGGAAGGAGGGTTTAGAGGCAAAGCTGTGATTCTGGGATGTGAGGTAGGATGCTACATCAGCTAGATCAAACTTTTTTTTTGATAGATCCTACTGTTCAAGAAACAACATCACATGTCACAATCTGTGAACACAGTGTGGCTAATTGCACCCCTCAGGGAACTGTTATCATTCCATGTTTTGTAAGGAGGAAATGGTTTTGGTGTATTGCTATTTGCTAATGATGGTGCATGCAATGGCGGTAGGCACTGAATGAAACAGTGACATTCGGTAAAGGAATGGGGTTTTTTAAAAAATCAAAGTATATAGTATTTAGTTTTGAAGATGAAGCTTCACAGTAGGATCTCAGTCTATATAATAAAACCTACTGCAAGAGATGAAACATTCTAATTTCTGGGTGTTTGGTTTGAGGAGAGAATGACAGAGGGTATATGTAGAGAAGAAAATTGCAGAATGTGAAAAAGTTATTACTGGTATGAGAGTTTTGGTTATCATACATTATTATGCATGTGTGGGCGAGCAGCTTCCTCTGATCTAAAAAAAAATGGATGTGGTGCAGGTTAAAACACATAAAAATATGATGAAGCTTTTAGAACAGTTTTTTTTAAAGGTTCATGTGTGAGAGAACACAGGATGCAGGACTGAAAGATTTGTCCGTGAGCCCAAGACTGCCCAGGCCACCTGTTCCATCATGGCTTTTGCGAGAGGCTGATGTGGACTTTTTTTTTTGAACCAAAAAAAAAAGAAGGATCAAAGTGATCCTGTGACTTCAAACAAAGCGTGGAAAGCATGGTAAACACATTGTAAATCATTTTTCAGTTTTTTGGGGGGGGCATTGGGTGAGTGTAGGAAGTAAAAACAGGGAAGATAGTTGAGTGCCTAGATTTTACTGCAGCACAGTTCAGATCATATCTAATAATAGAAATTCTGACTGTATTTAACCAAGTATCTACACTGTGGGACTTTTCTAGGCCTCAGAGCTTAAGGGGGAAAGAAGAAGCTATTGAGACAGCAAATAGAACCATCAACTAGGTAGAATTAAATCTTGAAATGATGTAAATAAGGGTCAAAAGTAAAAGATTAACAGAACAAGGAATTCCAAAGTTATAGCAAATAGAATAAGAGGAGAGAAACAAAGGCAGAATCATTTTCTTCCATCTTTTACAATTGCTACAATAACTGGAGCTCAGATATAATAATAGTAACAATAATAATAAAAATAGAAATGTACAAACTCATTGAAGAACCGACTGTATTATTTAAACTAAAATTAGACTTTATTGTTTTGAATAAGCAGTGCCTCTCTTTTAGCACTGGGCTGCAGATTGCATGGGCATTATTTTGGTCAGTGCTTGAATATGCAGATGCAAGTCACATGCATGCTGCTGCTGTTGATTTGACATGTTTTTACACTTGCATAACTATTTTCATTAAATATTCTCAGGACACCATTTTAAGGCCTTGTTCTCAAATGTTTTCCCTGTGTAAAAAATAAAACGTATTCATACTCATCGCTGCAACATTATGGTACTATGGCATTATAGTACTTTTTTTTTTTTTTTTTACAACTTTCATCTACATGGCTAAACACATTGAATGTAATTCTACAAATGACCTGTGGAGGGCAGTGTTACACTTTGCTGTGTCCAGCCTGCAGCTAATTTCATCAGCGACGAAGAAGCGGGAGCATGAAGAAGAGCAGCTAAGAGGGAAGCTAGCGCCTTTCCATGGCCTTAGGTGACTGAAAACGGACATTAAATATACGTCGACGGTAAATGAAAAGTCCCCCCGTCGTCCTTGTTATAACACGATACGCAATGAGTTGTTTACCTTAATGTATATGTTCATGGGACTGCGAACCAAAGCGTTTGGTTTTACCACTCCTCGTAGCTAATATGAAGTAGCTAACAGCTAGCGCTAACCTAGCTACATGTATCCTCACCGTAACCCCGCAACACACCAACAAATGACGTTATAAAAGTGCAACGGTGTTAACCCTAATTACTTAATTAGTTAGTATTTTTTAATAACCGAACAAGTCGGCTGTTATTTGATCAAACACTCAGTGTTTTAGCGCTTTGCACGCCATTTGCAACGCTACTGGCGAGTTGAATGGAGTGGAAGCCATATCGCAACGACCACGCTATCTAGTTAGCTAACGCTGCTACGCAACGCTGCAAGCTGTGGGAGGATTGTAATTGAATGATAGCTAACAGAAAGTGTGACTATTTTCAGTTATTTCATTTGTGGGATGAGTAGCTACACAAAACTTTATTAACCAAGACGCCGAAATGGTGTTCATATGAGCAGGTCCAGGCGCTGCACACAATAAATTGCATGTAATTGAAACAACACCATAAACACTGTACAGGTCTAGTTATGTGTTAAATCCTTATATAGTTATTTTCTTTATCCATCATAGTCTGTTTCCAAAATCATTAGGTACAGATGTATGCGATAAACTAGATGTATGCGATAAACTAATCGCTTTATGTTTCAGCTTTCTACAGCTGCTTTTTGCTTTGTCAGTCATAATGTGCAAACATACACAACTTTATGTATGTGGTGATAGCACAAGTGTGTCTTTGTGAATCTAACGTGTCTTGTAACCGTATAATTGTGACCACAAAATGTTTGTTTTTCAGATCGCAATCAGGCAAGACATTCAGTATGATTGTAGGCAGTCCTGTAGGGTTGTTTCTGATGTTTGTTCAGTATGTGTTTCATAGGTCTAATATCCATGTGTACACTGTAATTATTAGAATTAGTATGAATAGGTTTTTATGTTTAAAAAAACTGTATCTTTTGCTGTTATCTTATGAGCTATAATCTAAAAACATAGCCCATATCACTTATCTTGTGTAATTTTAATGTACTAATCATTTTTCATTCACAATGTAATGGCTGCAGTTATCTTTTGAACAACTGAGACATGCATTATATGAGTTAAATTGAACCTTAAAGCTATTTCAACTGGTACCATCAACCTCGGTTGTTTATATTGTAGGGCGCAGAGCTGGTAAAATACTGCAGAAGACATGAGGATTATTGCTCTCATTAATGGCAGTTGGTTTTTGGCAGACGTATTTGTCACAACACTGGAACTGTCCTAAGCATACATGTACCATACTGAGTAGTCGTAGTTGAATCGATTGAATACCTCAATGTTTCATCTAATATTGAACATTGTTGGCTACACATGGTTTGATCATACTTGTTTACAAGTGCTAAGAATACCATACTAGTAATGTGTTAAGATATTTACAGATAATTGAACTAGTAGAGGTATCCAGAAATCACGTCCTAAGATTTAATATAACTTTAGCAAATAAAGAAGCTGTGTAATGCAGGAACTAGTTTGTCTCAGAAGCACAGAGGTTTTCATGTTAGTTATTGAAATCTGTGAAACATGTACTCATTTTGCAAGATATATATTTTACCAGAAATTAGGAATTGATTTACACATGACAACTTAAGTTTTTTTTGTAAAAAAAAAAAAAAAGATGCATAGAAATTTGATAACGAATACTAATTTATGGATTTCAGCAACTCTCTGACAGTTTGTGTTTATGACAGACACACATGACACCATATTCTGTGTGTTTTTGCTGTGTAATCAATATGCTGTGAGGCAATTGCAGAAATCTCAGAACACTTAAAAGTAATCATTTTCCTAAAGTCATTATTCATTAGTTTTTTTTTCTCCCTTTGTTTCAGACTTTTGGGTTTTCTATATTATGCGGACGCTGAATCCAAGGCATCCAGGTTCAAATTAAGGTATGTAAAGGGATGCTTCCTAAAAAGCATATCTAAATTACTTCCAGCCTGATATGTATGCTGTATATGTCTTTGTACTGAATATGTCTTTGTACTGAACACCTCTTGAGATTCTCTTTTCTTGAAATCATTTGCTATTGTGGCATCTGTTCCATAAATTTCTCCGATGAACTTCGTGAGGACATTGCGTTATTCGATCACAAGGATGCGTTTGAATTTTTACATTTTCTGCGTGACCATAATTCCATGATTTCATTTCAATCGTTGCGATTTTCCTCAAGATCGAGTTCCTTTGTACACAGAAGAGGACTGTTTGAAAAATCACTGAATTTCAATGCGAAGGAAGCGATTTGTTTGAGAGTTTTCTGCACAGTTTAGTGAGAAACTAAAGACCTAATGAAATATTTTTCTTGGATGATGTGACCTCAATTTAACACCACAGAGCTTTACGAATATTTGACTCTGTAGTTCTCACTATTTCTTGCCACAAATCCGTTTTAACGTCATGATGGCAGAATAGCTCATCACCCTCAACACCTGACACTGACTTCTGTTCCATTTGTTCCACTTTTTCACAACATGTGCAGGACAACTTTGGGATTTTGATGTGTGTAAAAAGTTTGCCACTGCATATTTTATACAAGGAAACATGTTGTTGCCATCGTGTTTAGTTTTTATTTTTTTTAGCATTTCAGAGAACAAACACACCAATTATTAAAGCAAAGGTGTTTTCTTTTCACACCACCATCAGAGCTACTTGCGTCACTGCGGCATTACTTTTTTCAAGCATTAATCAAGATGTGTTCTCTCATCAAACGGTCCTGCTTTTGTAGCACTTTCTTAGTTTCTTTACCTGTAACTTTTCTGCATAGTAATGCTTTGCATTTATTTCAGCATAAAGTAGATGTGTAATATTAGTGAAGATGCAAAGAGCGTTTTATGTAAAGGCACAGTTAAATATATTTTTTACTTGAACAGATAATATGACAAATTCTTATTCTAGAATCATCTCTACATATGTGCCTTTCAAACCTGTTCAATTTGTTTTCTATAGAAGATATAAATCTGCGAAACGACATCTGAGAATTTGACATTTTGCTGCCGGTTGAAACTTCTGGATCCAGTGAACAACTATTTCAGACAAAATTTTATTTGAAATTGATTTTCGTCGTAGTCGAAGAGAAATCTGTCATTTCCAGAGCAGCTAGCCTGCTGAGAAAGTGTGCAACAACGATTCATTTGCGGTTCTGAATTGCAATGCTGTCTGTGTCAAGATAAAGGGCCTTCCCAGTCCATAATGAGTGAAACAACATTGTGGACTAGATGAATGAGGTTCTCGAATACCTGCATGAGAGAAATTCAGACTGCAGTCCATTGCAACAGAGAATAACGGCGGACTGATGGATTTGCGTTTGCGTCATGATTTAAGGAAACACTCAAATATGTAAAGGCCCAGTTTAATTGGGCCAAAACTTGCGGTGGAAATGAGCACAAAAGAAACGAAAGGACCTGCTGAAGAATACGCAAGTAAAAATGGCATGGAAGAATTTGATTGAAGCGGCACTTATTGTTTCAAACTTGGGTATTTGCATTTGAAAATTAGTTTTCAACAGAATTTGAATTTGCTTTGTCTGAACTTTGATGTGATTTTGATCTTCAACTCTTTATCCTTCCAAGGTGTTTGATCTCTTCTCATAACTCACTGACACGCTCCAGGATTGTGGAGAATTTAAAGACATATTTTACAGAACAAACCAAATCGGTTCAAGCATTTGAGTCACACGAAGAAAGCAACCAGTAAACCTTTTGGATCTAGCCATGTCTCGCCGAAGAAGCCGCACTCCATCACCAGCACGGTATTCACGCTCGTGCAGCAGCAGTGATCCTAAAGATTTGGAGAGAAGGATTTTTGTTGGGAATTTGCCAACCTCCGACATGGAAAAAAAGGATTTGGAAGACCTGTTCAACCCATATGGGAAGATAGTCGGTCAGTAAACACAATATAAGCGATAAGTTGCCCATTTTAATTCATGACAGTCTGGAGCAGTCAGGTTGTTTTGTCTTGAAATTCAAGAATGTTCCTACTGATCAGTTTTTAAAGAGCATAATTGGGTAGGTATCCAAATTGTTCTTTAATGGTCCTAAGTTTGTGCCACTTAAAATATTCCTCTTCTAGGCGTATCCATGTTTCGTGGGTTTGGATTTGTACAGTTTGAACGCGTTGAGGAAGCCGAAGCTGCAAAGGCGGCCCAAAAGGGTCGAATATATAAAGGTTATAAAATAGGTAAGCCTTAACTGCCGAACGTGTGATTGTATGGCTAAAAAAAACTGCGTTTTTATTGGTGTTGAGAAACCAACAAAACCAAAATAACAAAAAATTTACGTCAGTTTTGTTTGTATGAAAAATTTGAGCATGATTGTACATGATTTTGTGAATTTTGGTAATAAAAAATGTCACCAAAAAACAAGCAAATATACTATTTTTAAGAATTACCATTAATAGTTTTCTGTAAAATAATGTTGTGTATCAAAGCTAGAAATGTCCTCCATGAAGAATAGTTAGAACTTTACAATGTTTTGTTTTTTAAAAACATTAATTTATTATTGTGGTATGCTGCATTCAGTAAATGAAACAGCTTTAAAATGTTAAAGTGCTTAGCGAACAGCTACTCTCACAGCGTGAAGATTGTATGAGTTTTTACTTTTTTTTTTTTTTTTTTTAAATCTGAAACAATGCAAATAAACCAGTGCATTATTAAATTCTGGCAAAGCCTGAATCTCTGAAATCTCTTGTTTTATTTGCAACACAGTTTTGGAATTTTCCTCAACATGGATTCAAATGTGTCCCTGAAATGGGGCACTTGTGGATTGAGTTTCTGACGGCCAAATTTTTACTTCAAAGTCTAATTTACATGTTCAAGCTTTGCTAGTTTTTAGCAAATTTTGAAGGGAAGAAAAGAATTTCTTTATTTGTTGTTCATCCAAGCGTCACTTCGACAGATTTAGCAACTCACTTTGCCGCGTTTTGATCTTTCGTCAAGTTCGGATTTTCAAATTTGGATCCTGGCACTCAGTTTCATTTGGATCGTGAAAGTGTTGACGCGGCCACTCGATTTTGCGTGAACAACATGAGCTGATCTTCATGTCACTGTTATGTTCAACGTTTGGATTGATTTATTTTCAGATGTAAATATGGCAGTGGAGCGACGGCAAGCTAAACCTCAATCCCAGCAGAGCCCTCCACGAAGGTAAAGTAACGCGAAACGGATGTCGAGAACTACCATCGCCTCTGAGGTGTCTGTAAATAAACAAAAAGCGTGTTACTTTTTCCTCACCTGTATTTCCACCAGTGGTGACATCTGCTTGATGGAAGCTGCTGCACCATTAGAGGGGTTTGTGATGGTTTATGGAGCAGTCAATATTTCACCTTAAGTTAAAATTTCCTGATGTTGAAATAAAGAAAAGAGACACATGGATGTAATTTAACTGTCTTTGTCTCAAAAATTCTTCACGATATGGCTTTTCAACGCTGGTGTTCTTTGCGTGATTTTTGTCCCGTATTTCGTCTCTTTTTCAGCTTAAGTACAGGTCATGCTATTCTGACCCTACTTCCTGTGGAGTAAGCAAATTTATGGCCTTCAACGTGGCCTTAGGTGTACTTAGAAACTGTGTTTATTCTCAAGAATAGCTACAGTAAAGCCAAACAACTCCACTGAAAAACAGATTCTGCTGTAGCTGCAATGAAGCTACAACAAATATATTTAAAGGGACCCTGTGGAGTTGTTTGGTAAACAAATGTATCTTGCATATACTTCTTTTTGATGCTTTATTTATATCCTGCTAGCTAGAAACCATTTTATTCCCTGCATTAGTTTGCAGAATTCTATATTTCTTGACATGCTACCATCACCAACTATCAATTAGTGAAATAATGTAAAACCATTGTCTCACATGCATGTATGCAGCTAGGGATCCAAATTCCACAAGGTACCTTTTTTGAAGCACAGCACAACAAAGTGTGACTTATTTTGTGAGCAACTGAATGTTTAGGTTCGATGCTTTGATACTTCTCTATATGGCGGCACTTTATCCAGCTCAGAGCTGGTGGATGATTCACCGACAAAACACTCTACACATCACTGAGAAGTGTCTTTCAGGCCTGCTGAACTGCTCACAGACTCGTCATGGTCATCCTGATGTCAGACATATTGAATATTTATGAGCGACAATCGGGAAGTTTACGATTATCACCCTAGAGCACAGAGCAACAGACACTGTTGCCAAGCAATGCTAAACATTCTAGCCTTTGAGGCTAACATTAGTAAAGGATATTAAAATTGCTAATTACAATCTCTCCTTTAGTTCTTATTAAAGAATAGGCCAACCATGTTGACTGCATTTCTCCAACCATTTGTACAGACTTATTTAGCCCTGTGCTTTAGTTTTTTACAGCAAGTTGTTGCATCACAGTCTCCATTTTGTTTGCATCAGTTTCCCAGGAGTTGTGAGGTGCTGCACTGCTCCCTCTGGCACAATAATCTAATATCCTGTATTGTGTGTGATGTGCCATTATATTCAAGTCTTGTTGTTTGTGCATGTCTGAAATCAGAAGAATATCTGAAGTTTCTCCTTATGTGTATTATGTAACCTGATTTCAAATCTCCTGTGTGTGAGCCGGTTTAAGTTTTGTATTCCCTCTGATCCATCTAAACAGTTGTTGTTTTGGTGTAGTCTGGCTTTAATATACTGCCACTTTAGGAAAACGTGCGGCTACAAAAACGGACATGATGCGACTCTTCACACGATGCATTTATTGCTCATTACCTACTTAAATGGCTTATCTCCAACAATATCTTCAGGAAAACAGTAACTTTATTATAGTACACAGCAGGCTCATATCGGTTCACTAAAAACACAACAATTTTCTCCTAGTACAGCTTAGCCTTTTGTTTTGGATTAAAGGAAGTTCAAATGTTAATGTGGGGGATCGCAAAGGTTATGCAAGGTAACACAAAACTTTTTTTCCTTGTTTGGTACTTTCTCCTTTCTCTCTAAATATGTTGAGCATTAGCAAATAACTGGATCTTTATGTTGCAACAAGAAAATAAAAGTTGGAAGATATTTTCCTTATCCTTTTTCAAATCATTCTTTGATTATAAGAACAACTTAAACTCAAGGAAAGAAGTTTTAGAAATCTTGAGGATGTGGGGTTAAAATACACTTCCAATAGAATGTCATGTCATGCAACATCTGAATACACATATATTTTTCTCTGCTCTTGTAATTTGTATTAAAAGCATTTTTTGGTCTCATATTTGGAGTATGGGAATATCAAGCATATTGAGCTAAAGGTGTAAAATATACACCCTGTTCAAAAGGGTAAGGCAACCATTGTATTTGCGTATCTTAGGATGGATGTATGGTCAATGAGCCACAAATGGTTGATTGATAGTGGTACATTTGCAAATCACTGGACATGTTAAAAAAAAAAAAAAACAACAACAACAACAAAAAAGCTGCTGAGACTTACCGGAATCGCTTCCTCGATATAATTTGTACGAACGGCCTTTTGCGAACAAGAAAACAGTTTTCGGTTGCTCTGCTGCGGTTATACGGTTACTTTGCAATTTAATAAATGTGGATCAATTTTATTGAATTTGCAAAACCCAACTGTAGGCCTGTCCTCACCAATTAAGGACCGAGGACCTTATTCCCCTCTGGAGCATTTCATAGGCAGCCTTAACACTCTCTAACTTCTCTTGCACTAACTGGTAACATTTCTCTTAGGGCCCCATATGGCAGTTATGGGGACAGCAAAGATCCTCGACCTCGGTCCCGTTCACCCGTTTATCCACGTGAGCCTCGGGAGAGCCGTGATGGGAGGGACTCCGGTAGAGAATCAAGGCCAAGTGGCCACTCTCGAGACCACGACTTCCGGTACCGTAGCTCAGACAGCAGAGACAAGGACATCAGAGGTGACCCACGGGATTCTGCATACAGGTAACTGACACCAATGCCAGTAGTTGAAAGCTCTGAGTACAGTGGTTATGTTTTCGTCTGAACCTTAACTGCTTCCATACAGCAGAGATGACTATGACAGATACTACCGCAGTGGCAGTGGAGCAGATGACTATTACCGGAGGAAGGACGAGCCCTACAGGGATCCCTATGCAGATCCCTGGAATGGACGGCGTGACCCAGAAGGTCTGTGTACATGTTACAGTTTAATAGTTTAGTCTTGGTTGGTCAGATTTGATTCTGATAATTTTCAATACAAAAACTCAGCCTGTTTAGTTTTTTTTTTTTTTTTTGTCACATGCAAGCTGTTTTTTTTTTTAGCTTTTGGTTTAATTCTATGACTTGTGACATTTTGTGTACTAGCTTAGTTGTCCAGATGTTGGGACAAAGCACCATTACTAGATATACAACTAGAGGCCCATGGCAACCACGCTTTCTTTTTTCCACTTTGATCATATTTATTAGTATTTTGTGTTCTAATCATCCATTTGTTTGTAAAATATTTTGCACAGCTGCACATTTTGTAGTATAGCAGAGGTGAACTGTAAATTGTCTAAGGCTCAATGGTTTGTTTCCAGAAGATCGCGCTCGACCAGAAGAGCGCCGGCGCAATGAACTGTATCGACAGTACTATGAAGAACTCCAGCGGCGCTATGACACGGACCGTCCTGTGGACTGCTCTGTGATTGTTGTCAACAAGGCACAAAAGTATGTCCACTGTCTAATCTGTACAGGGAACTCTTATCCTGGACCAGAAACATCTCTGTAAATATCCAACCAGTACATGGAATATTTTCATTTCATATTGCTCCTGTGTGTGCGTGTTTGTGTGTTTGTGTTTGCGTGTCTGCCTGCCTGCACTTGTGCTTTGAAAACAACTGTAGGGAGTATGCTGAGACGGTTGGGCGTAAAGTCCGTGATTTGGGAATGGTGGTGGATCTGATCTTCCTCAACACAGAAGTGTCTCTAACCCAGGCACTGGAGGATGTGGGTCGAGCCCGTACTCCCTTTGCCATCATCATTACACAGCAGCACCAGGTCCACAGGTCCTGCACTGTCAACATTCTCTTTGGCACACCTCAAGGTAATTTAAAACTGGCTAGTGGTGGGGTCACTCCAAAAGTAAATCGAGCATTTCAAAGGTGAATCCTCTCTCACTGTTGTACAAGCTAACATTTGTACTTTGTGCCACAGAACATCGAAACATGCCAATGCAGGACGCCATGATGCTGGTTGCACACAACTATGACACCTACAAAGTGGAAAACCGGGAAAAAGAACGTGAGGAAATTGCCAGAAAGGCTGCCAAGATGGCGGATGATGTGTTACTCAGGGAGGCGGACAGGGAGAGTCACCCCATTTCAGTCCTTACAGCTATCACACTGCTGTCTGAAAACAGGTATAAGGTTTAAAATGTTCAATATAAATTTCTGTGATTTGTCAGTTAAAGGTTCTATGTTATAACTTTTTATTTGGCCACTTTTTGTTTGCCACATAGCTTTAAAAAAATGTCAACACTTGTAATAGTAATGTTTTATTCTGTGTGGTTGTCGGGTAGATTTGTAACCCCTGAGGAGCTGGACAGTCTCATTGCATATCTGAAGGACAAAAGAGCTCGGCTAGTACGAAGCACAGCAGATCCTCTAGCAGGTAACACATTGGAAAAAAAGTGTCATCAGGGACAAGTTCACATTTTTTAGTTCTGTTCTTAAAGCATTACTAACATGCATGTATGTACTCTCAAATAAATTCTTTCTTCAAATATTCTTCTATCATAGAAATATTCTTGTAGTTTAATCGTAACAACTGGACTTGCTTGAGTTTCTTGAAGACGTTTCATCTCTCATCCAAGAGGCTTCGTCAGTTCTGACTCCTTAAGGATATAAGTATCTGGAACTCCCAACTAGTCAGTCAGAACTGATGAAGCCTCTTGGATGAGAGGTGAACCGTCTTCAAGAAACTCAAGCAAGTCCAGTTGCTACGATTAAACTACGAGAATAACCATGACCAGGATGACTGAGAATCTTCACAGACATAATAGAAATATGTTTGAATTATTGACTGTGTTGTTGTTCAGCAAAGTGTAATTGAACTTGTCCTCCTACAGCTCCGGTCCATGTTGGAGCTCCTGCAGCAGTACATCATGATGTCCCATCCTCAGCTGCAGTCCCTCCTTCATCTCATCCTGCTCACCCAGCCCCACAGTCGAGTCACCTCGGCCTATCTGGTTCTGGTTCAAGTGTCTCAGCAAACCCCAGTCATCAGCAGGAGCTGCAAGCTAAAATCCTCAGTCTATTTAACAGTGGCAGTGGACCGTTGGCAGGCACTGGTAGCCTTCCCTCTGCTACCTCCCAGTCACACTCCTACGGCTCTCTCGGCCCATCTCCTTCCCAAAACCCATCCCGCCCAACCATGCCTGTCCCTCCTACAGCTGGAACCCAGGCTTATGGCACCCCACCAGGCCGCATGCCAGTGGCAGCAGCTGGTCAGAGACCCCCTACCTCTGCTTCAGGTATCAATTTTGACAACCCGAGTGTCCAAAAAGCTCTTGACACATTAATTCAGAGTGGACCGTCTTTGAACCATCTGGTAAGTGCTGGGGCCTCTCAGCAGCCACCCCCCAGACCAGCACCCAATGCGGGCCAGGTTCCACCCATGTCCATGTATCCCCGACATTACTAACAGGCTGTAGTGAATCAACCACTCCTAATGTGAGGTCACCTCTCCCTCTGATAGAAGTAGACACCGCATCTTTTTCTGTGCAGTGCATTTACCAGCATTGTATCGGTAGACTGTAGGGATATTTTGTAAAAACTTTTAATCTTTTTTTTTTTTTCTAAGTATTGTGTTGTTTAAATTTGATCAGACTACTTGATGGTCTGCATTTTCAATTGTTGTTTGCCAGTAGATATTTACAAATGAATGAAACAGTGAAGTTCTGAAGTACAGTTTTGGTTCTTATTTCTTTTCCAGTGACAATGTGTCTGTCTTTTTATTTGTAACATTGTTTCTGTTGTCAGAAAGAGACACGATTAAAAACTCAAGACACAATTGCTGTAATAAAATGGTATTGGTTTATTGCATTTTGTGCTGACAAATCTATAAAATGGAACGGGTATCGCCAGAAGCCATAGAGATAAGCATTTGAAATGTAAGATAAAACTACTTTTTCCTCTTTTTAATGTACCATGAATCACAATAGAGAATAATACATGTCTTTTTTTATTTTAGAGTATTTAACTTACACTGACACAAAAAATAAACACCTCCACACTAACTGTATTTGATTTATTTACACGTAGCCCCCTCCCACCCTCGCCCATAACCACCCCCGCCCCCAGCAGTTACAAGTGCACATGTAGACACATACACACTCCCACAGAACTGAAAGGAACACACTACGGCTTTACCATAAGACTAGGTACAGTATCAAGGAAAAGTAATGAACGATTCAGAATGAGAGAACATTTTTCATTTGTGAAATTTGATACAGGTGTCTTTGTGTGTATGCCGTATATATCATCTACATCCATTACATTTTTTTTTTTTTTTTCAAGCATCCATACAAAATGTTTCCCACAAGTCCAGTGAATTAAAAACAAGTCTGGACAGTGACAAGGTTCCTCTGGAGGGAGGTACTGGGTATTAAATACTGATTTTTTCAAGGCCAAGTATTAAAGGAAAATACATTTTGGAAAATATGCGTAAAATAGGACTTAAATGAGAAAATATCATTCATGTCTGTCAGTTAATAATGAAGCTGCAGCAGGCTGACTGGGAAAAAAGTAGCCTGGATCTGTTCAAAGGAAACTATTACGCACTTCTAAAGCTCAATATTTAATATGTCATTTAAATTATGCAAAACCCAAAGTTTGAAACTGACAAATTGGTTTTCTAAGGAGTTATGTGCCAGACTACTTCTTGAGACCAGTAATTTACTGGAGCCAAGATACAGTCTTTAAAATATCCAGTAGTTTTATTACATACCACACAAATGATATATGTGTAAACTATGAGCTTTTGAGATGCTTCTAGGCTTATTTTGCTACCTTTGAACACAGCCAGGATACCCGTTTCCAGTTTGCGTGCGAGTTCTCAACAAGAAAGCGTATATTCCAAAATGTCAGACTTGTCCTTTTAAGGTTTGAACGCCTAGATAATAGACCAGGTTAGTTGTTGGAAATATTTATATTTAATACACTGAACAGAACTACAGCTGGTGACTGAGAAGAGGTAAATCTACAGTTTTGAATAGGCAGCAGACTCACTGCCTTTTCAAGTAACTCCGTTAATCAAAATTTGCAGCATCTCTGCTAATGCTTTGTCCAATCTTCTTTATTTGACCTTGTTGAAACAATCGTTTTACATCACAAATAATTGCTACAAATTTTTCATAAGAAGGTAAACAGTATGTACTTGTTTGCATCTAATTCACTGGAGCACACATTTTCACACTCATTTATGTAGTTAACTGAAATATACTTTGGTAATCACTTTTTCTGCAGATAGTATTTGACACAATGAGAGGACCTTGTCAACAGATCTACCATAAAAAATAGAATCTTGTACTATAATAATATTCATCTTGGATACAATGATTGGCCAGTCCTAAGGAAAGAGAAAAATATGATAGTACTAGAAAGAAAAGTTTGTAACTGATAAAAACAAAAGTACTTTTATACCACAAACACCCAATATATTTTCAATACACCTTGATCAGGGTAATTGCATGCATGCACTGAGTTACACAACATAACTGGAATGGGGCTCTGCTTGCGCCGCATGGATAGCCACTTGAGTTGTTTTTCCTCATCTGACTCCCAGAGAGATCGACTGTGTGAAATGTAAGTGCAGCTGTTGTGTTACAGGCACGTCTCTCTCTTGAGGACATACTGAAGGGTACGATCTTATTTCAGCTACAGACTGTGTGCCCTCTCTGCAATAATCTGGGATTTGTTTTATATTTCTCTGTTGGTGTCTTAACAGGACAGCCTCCTCAACCCGGTAACAGATGTGTTTCAGAGCCCTTAATATCCATTTAAGGATGGAGACTGAGTAATGATCACCGGCAAGTTTGTCTCATGCTACAGTTGTGCAGGCGAAGGATCTGATCTAAACCATGGATCAGTTTGGGGGGCGGGGTTGGGGAAGAGGGACGTGCTGGTTTCTAAGCCGACTATCTTGTGCCGTCCAAGCAGAGCCTGTACCAGAATTGGAAGCGCGAGTTTTATATTCTTTGATCATTTTTCAGAAATATACTGCAATCACATTTAAAATACAGAGCTGGGGTGGATTTTGTGGCTGGGATGGGGGAGACCAGGGGTTTTGGGGCAGATAAGGAGGGGAGGAGTGGGGGAGTGGGGATTGGAGGGGGGGACAGGGGGATTCTGGGAAGGCTCACCTCACAGATTGAGTGACAAGCACTATAAATTTAACAGTTACTATTATTCTTTTTAAAGAAGTTTGGCAAGAGAAAGGAAATAATGTGATGCATGCTAAAAATGTTTAAGAAAAATGCTGAAATGATAAGATGTTAACGAAATCAGCAGGTAGGTCTCTGGAGTGTCGCAGTTCAAAACTGCAGCAAGATGACGGTAATTAATTGTGTTTTATAGTGTGAGCTGTCAAGACGGCCACAGCTGGCTGTAATACACTCCAGTGCCACCAGAGATCACTGTGGGATACAGTCTGTTCAGAGCAGGCCGGCTCTAGTTCGACCCCCCCCATTCCTACAGACTGATGCTCCTTCAGTGTAAAGTGCGTTGCTGTCTCAGCCACATTTGGGTTGAACACTTTAAATCTTTATGGTCCATTAGACCTGGTGACAAACATTCTGATAAAGTAAGTGACTGCTGATGCTTCCAGTTATTGATATAAAATAAAATAAAAACAGAACTGTGACCAAAAGAAAAAAAAGAAAAGAAATACCAATGTGAGAACAATATTGCACATAATCTTACAAAACTCTAAGACTTTGCCCACAGTGATAGAACAGAGTACAACAAAAGACAACACTAGAAGGTTACAGTGTCTCTGACTTAAGTGATATATACTGTATATTTACAAAGGTGAAATGACCATTCCTAAGGCCCATCTATTCGCAAACTCAAAATCTCCTATTACGTTACATAAGACTACTTGAGCAAGATTGAAATATAACAAGTAACAATATAGTGAACTCATACTTTTTCTTATTTTTTGCAAAAGACTTGTTTTCAAGGTCTAACCGTGTTGCCGACTGTATGGCAACGCTCCTGAGTTCTCAAAATCTGTAACTCATTGAGAACATTTGACCGCCTTCTCCGCCGCGCTGCACCTTGAACATGTAAGTCATCACTATAGAAACCACTAAAACAAATATTGCCACATAGTACCATGCAAACAGCAATTATAAAACATTGATAATTCAATAAATAAATTCATTTCCAATAAACTTCTCCAAGAAACACCGGATATCTTTTCTTTTGAATAAATTTAAAAGGCTCAGTTGATGCAGGCAATGTTGTCTTGACAATCCTAAAATAACCGTGTTCTTCAAAAACTGGTGTGAGCGTTAAACAACCCCTTTGTCAGAGTTCAGTGTGACAAGTGTATTAAAGAAAATCTTCATGACTTGGCACCCCAAAATCTTTGAAAACTAGGAGTGGCTGCTTGTTAAGTATCACAGGTGTCAAAGGTAGGTGTGTTAAAAATTTGCAAACAGTAACATTTATCAAATAAACCAGAAATCTTCATATTTAAACACTTTTTTTTTTTTTTTGGCAATTCCTGTCAGTTTAAGTACATAGCGTAAATTAAAAATCAGTTAAAATTGGTTCACTTTACTCGTGGGATTAAAGATAGTAATATTTAAGAGAGCTTTTTTTTTTTTTTTTTTAAAAAGAGAATAAAAGGGTAGAGGATTTGCCCTCAGTTGTAATATTGCATCAAGGTATTCAGTATAGTTTTCTAATAAAACAGAAAGCTAACCCTGTCCAGAGATCGCAGGCCAAATGTATACAGGTACAGCCTTGTCTTGATAGATAACCACCACCACCACTGATATGTATGTCTATACCCTTTTTCACTTTATCTTTACTGTTGCTTTAGTCATCTCTATTTACAGTACAAATAAATCTATAGATACTAGCAGCATTCACAACATATGGTCCGACATTCAAGCAACACTAAAAACATTTAATACTGTTTTTAAATAGGTCTAGAAACTAATTTGTTTTGCTTCCCTATATTGTATATACCGTGTATATATACGTGTGTATTTATATTTATATTTCTACTACAAGTGCAAATGACCAAAAACAGTTTCTTCAAGAAAAGAAACAGGAATAATCAAAGTAAAGTGACAGCTGTCCTTGGTCAGAGTGAGATGATTCTGGATTTTATAAGACTTACGAAATCTACATATACAAAATATATGTGTAAAAAAATAAATAACATGATCACATGAGTCCGGATTTCAACTATTGCACATTCCTTCCAAGATGCACTTTTCAAAAACCTAAATATGATTTGCTCACAAGTCATTCAGTCGGGGGACATGTGTGGCTCAAATCTTAACCAATCTAGAGGATATAAAATCTCACTGGAAAGTCTACTGCATAGAGTTCATTCTTTTTTGACAAAGTGAGTTTCGTAGCTACAGAAACCGTTGTTCTCTCTGCTTATTTAGACTAGACCCTATAAACAAATAGTTGATAGATGTTCAGATAGACATGCCTACTTCAACAGCTGGGAGTTGGTAGTTTTGGGGAGAGCTGAACATGTATTCTATAATCATCTATAGGGCGACTTTCCAACTACAGTGTCATCATCATACTAGTTTCATGTAGACACCACGCTAAACCTTTAGTTAGCACACTTTGTTCTCTCTGATTTAATGAATAGAATTTTGTTTACTAATTCGCTTTGAAAAATACTTTGATATGGCACATTTAATGTATCTAAATTTGGCAAAAACAATGATATACCTTTGAGTGACAATCAAAAATGATATACAACTATTTCATCAATATGTGTAACTTCTGTCTATAAACATAAATACATATTTGTTCTCTAGATGAAAAAATAACATTTAGTCGTTTTT